GTTATTCTGCATTCTGGGGATATGAATTAAGATAAAAAAAATTCGGATTTCAAGCGTCATTGTCTCAATAAAAAGATTTTTCTATTGGTGTTAAAAAGTGTTGGGACATGGGAAAGTTCTGCCAACCAACAAATTAAAACTCTCCTAATATGTCTGGTCCCTTCTGAAGTTTTAATTTTCATTGTTTCTGAATATTAAAATGAACAAACTCGGTGGTATGAATTAACAATGAAATCATTGCCCTCTTCAAGAGTTTACTCAAGTCTCTTCATGTCACCACAAAGCCAAAAGTTTTCGCGATTGATTAAAAACAATCATGCAGGCTGAAATACTTCAATTGTTTTTTCCACTCAAGCTTCCTAACATTTTCATTAATCTGCATTCTGAGGATATGAACAAAGATAAAATTTTTGTTTTGGACTTCGAGCGTCATTGTTTTAAAATAAACCTTTTTCTCTTGAAGAAGTTTTGGAACACAGGATAGTTGTTATTGGCACTGAATATTATAATTAACAAACTCGGTGGCTAGAAAAAACAATAAATTAGTCACCCTCTTCAAGAGACTCAAGTCTTTTCATGTCCCCACAAAGCAAAAAGTTCTCTTGAATGATAAAAAACAATGATACAAGCTGGAAAAATTTAGTGCCCTCTCCATTCAAGCCACTCTAATGAAATAGTCTCCAAGATCACTAACAAAATCACAACGCAAACTCATAATTGCAGCAATGCTAAACTCAAAATAACTAAAGTTTTTGCTTCATCAAGTTTCAATCATAAGCTTAGTTAGCTTGCTAGCTCACTTAAGTTTTTCAAATAAATACAATTTTCTTGCATTTCTTTCTGACTAAACCAATTTTTTTCAATGTTTTTATTGTTTAGAAAATCAAGAACTTATAAATTTTTCTAATCGTCTTTTGCTTCTTTTAATTCTGCTGTTTTTGATGCTCAATCTCTTCTTGATTTTCATGGCTATATCAGTAGCTTTCATGAGCGGTGTATTAGTGTACAAACTGTTAATTACATTGGAATTCTACTCTCGCCACAATCCAGTTTCTTTTTCTCGAAGGTTAATCTAGAGACTTGATTATATTCGTTTCTATATTTACCCCGCATTTTTCTAAAAATAATTTACCACTTTTTTGTTCAGCAAGTAGAATACCTCACCGATCTCTTCTTTGTTTTATAGCTAATAACTCTTCATTGTTCATCACAACACTTTCTCTGTGATTTTTTTGCTGTTTAAATTGTTCTGATTGCCTTAAATCTTCAAGTCATGTGTCATATGTCCCTTTTTTTGTCACACCTAACCTCGAATTTTTCTCAAACGGCTCAGCTAAAAGAAACATTTTTCTTCTCATACTTTTTTCCTCTCTGAGGGTGTCTGTTTAACATTTTTGCCGTAGTTTCAAGCTCGCAAAATTTTTCTCCAGGTGTTTTAATTGGTTTAGTTCAAACAGAATATTTTTCATGTCTGCAAGAAAAAGAATTTCTGATTTAGTCTCGTACCGGATTTATGGTCCGAAACTTAACAATTCCTTCACCAGTTACATAGAGTTTTTTATTGGTCTATCTTGTCTTTCCGAAGGGTTGCTCAAGCTTGTTTTCTGTCGACCGATCAGCTTTTGGTATAACACCATGCTTGCTGATTGAAGTAGAATTCATTTGACGGCCTCTATTTTCAATCTACACCTCTTTTTCTACACCTTTATGTGCCATTTGACCAGAATAACGCTAGAAAAAAATCGACGAAACTAATCTTATTTGAAATAGTTCGATCGTACGAAACAGCTATACTGAAGATTAACAATCTTATTTGAAGAAATGAAATAATCGGAGAGGGTCAGTTTGGTCTGACATGCTTATTTTCAAAATTTCATCAAAATCAAAGAAACATGAAATTTCTTTTTTTTGGCGACCACTGAAAAGCGCAATAATCAGACAGTCGATTTTCCGGATTATTAATTAGACAGCGAAGATTGAGAAAACGATCGAAATTGGAGTAAATCATATTTCAGAAAGAGACACTCCAATCTGTGACGATTGTGCAGGTACAATTGGTACCGAGCAAATCACGCGAACCAGAAAAGCTAACGGGAGGAGTTTTTACCCTTCCCAATAGCGAAGAAGACGCTTTTTCCGATGATTTGAGAAGACGAAGGGGTCTCGAAGACGGACTGTGAACGTTATTTTTGAACAATTTTAGGTTTCCCGGTGTATTCTAAATTGAATTTATTTCATACCAGATTCATTTTTGGATGTCGAGAAGCAAGGAGTGAGGGGAAGGGTCGATCCGGCTCCGATGGATAGGTTTACTTTCTCTACTGAACAATAGTGTTAAAGAGACTTAATAGTATTAGTAGTAGTAGTAATATGAATTCTTTGGTTCACACAAGGGGTTTGGACCCCGTCAGTTTCTCGTTTCATTGAACAGTTCTATTTCTGCACTTTTTTGCCGTACAATCGCATGCTAATTTCTAAGTGCACTTGTCGCTCTCATTGCATTGCTCGAATTTTGACCAGAAGATTTTTAGAAGTCGTTGTTTTAAGCCAATCCCTTCTCTTAAATCGATTTTTAACACATTCGCAAGTCGACAGGTTTGGTACATGAAGTTATGTTCGCATTTGGCTATCCTTGGACGTCTCAGCTGAAACAAATTGGCGCGCGAGAACTCTGTGTAATATATTATGTCTAGATTACATGCCTTATAACGTCCCAAAATCAGTTTTGAAAGCAACAGCAAGTTGTTTAGTTGAACAAACATTGGCAAAGGAAGAATCCCTAGTACTTTCAAGTTTTCTTTGTATGGGACACTACTAACGCAAATCCATTTTTTTGCTCTTTGCTGAATCGTCTCTAATTCAGACCTTAAGTACTTATTTAAACCAAAACACGGACTTGCCTAAAGAATCACGGGGATTATCTTGGATTTGAATAAATTCAGTTTCGCTACTCTGATTAAAATCGATGTGTTTCTTTTGATCGCGAAAAAAGTTTTATTTGCTTTTTAGCCTGCTTTGTCAATGTGTAGATTCCAGCTCATTACCATTGAAAATATAACCCCTAGATCTTTCCGAGTGTCCACTAATTTAATTTCCGTTTTGTTGAAGCAAAATTTGATTGAACTTTTAGTAAAGCTCACGTGGGTGCATTTATCAACTTCAACACTGAATGACATATTTTTTTCGACTGTCCAGTTGTATATCACATTCAGTTTATTTTGAAATTCTTCTTAAGCTAATTCTAGGCTGATAAATGTTGCATCATCGGCAAAAATAAAGGTGTGACATTTTGGCAAAAAGAGGGCAGGTCATTTTAAAAAATTAGGAAAAACAATGGACCGAGGATGCTGGCTTGGGGCACTCCGCTTGTTACGGGCTTTGGATCTGAGATTTCGCTATTGACAGATTTCCTTTGACAGATTGGGACCTGATTGATAGATAAGATTTCAAAAATTTAATCAAATTTCTACCTTCTCCGTTTTTGAAAAGCTTCATCAAGAGGATACCGTGGTCCACACGGTCAAACGCTTTACTAAAGTCCGTGAAAACGGTCTCCATATCAGTCGCTTCGTCCTGATTTTTGTAGGCTGTCTGTAAGAAAATTAATGGCTGTAAGATTGTGGATATATTATTCCGAAACCCATGTTGTGAACTATGAAACATAGGTGATAGATGTTCATATAAGCCAAATATTATAAGTTCTAATATTTTTGAATTGTACAAAGAAGGGAGACGAGTCTATATTTTTCAAAGTCAAGTTTATCGTTTTTTAATGAATTGGGCTGATTATAGCTGCTTTCCAGTAGTCTGGAAAACGCCTAGTTTGAATAATTTTAGAAAATATTTGATTGATAGAATAATATAGAGATGCTTGTCTTTTAAGAACAGTACTGGCAATAAATGGTCGGGGTCTTTATTTTTATTCGTGTTCGACGATTGACATATTTCAAGTATCTCGAGCTCAGTAAACTAATTATATCAAGGACTGTATTGGAATCAGGTTCGGGTGGTTCTGAAAATGTACACGATTCAATGTACACCGAAGCGAAAAATTTCGAAAATAATACTGCCTGTAATGGATCGGTATCGGCGGCCGCATTTTTGTACTTCAGTATACTTGGTAAGGTTGGTTTATGAAAAGCTTTAAAGTATTTAAAAAGTTTTCCCGTTGATCGCTCTGACGCAAGAGACTGTTCATAATCGGCTTTGTCCATTTCGGCGTTCGTTTCTGTCTGTTCAATTAAGTGCAAAACTTTTGGATGAGACTCGGTATATTTCTTCCGAGCTGTATGTAAACGTTCAATAAGATTCGAAGTCGAAAGTGAAATTTTTGCTTTCCATGTATCGAATTTCTTTTCGTTTCCCCAAGCTGGTGGGGTTTTGTAGATCAACATGTCTGCTACCATTGAAAAACTGACTTCTATTAAAACACTGTGTTTAACCCCACCAACATACATCAGCCTGAAGAAGAATATTACAATAACAAATTGCACTTACATTAACAATGAGCTCACTATTTGCTTGTAACTAAGTTAAATTGCCAGGTTCGGCCGATAGCATTCAAGTAATAAGATTTTGTTGACCCGATGTTATGAGAACTACAATGAACTGGCTATGGCAGAGACAGTTAAAAGTAGCTAAGGCTCTATTTAGACGTTATTCAGTCGTTTCAGAATCTAATATACTTCGGGCGAATGCTACTTTTATTCCCTACCTTGCCTTGGCTAAGTTGCCTGATGCCTTCCTATTGTCCCCATTTTCCCGGTTTAACAGTTTTAATTGAAATTGGTTCACCGCTTGATCCGAAAAAACGTGGTTATATGGCATGCGAAACCGAAAAGTATCGGTGTAATGTCATTATCGAGACATGTTTGAAGCAGTCCAATTGATTTTTTAAATGAAAATTTTACAATTAAATTGATGAAACAAAAATAAAACTGAGTTGCCTACATTCACTGCTTCGATTTAAATGATTCTTCTTTCACTGTGATTGTCTTCTTATAGAAATGGATGATTCGTTGGAGCTGGACGATGAATTGAATCGAAGCAACTCTAATATTGGAACAGGTAAATTTTTATATTTATGTTATTATTTTAGTTTTTCCTTCCACTACACGAATTATATACAGGATCAGGTTTGGTATCACTGTAAAGCCTCATTAGTTCGTGATGTGACTGGAAGTCCGAAAAAACATCAAAAAAAGGTACAACTGAGATAGAGGGATCCCTTTAAGAACAAAGTGGGACAGAAGGATCCCACATCACATTAATTAACTAAATGAATGGAAGCCGGTCGATAATTTTTAAGACTTTTTCTTCAAACGTAATTAACCTACTTCTGCGCTATTCTTTACTATGATTCAACTATCATCACCGAGGAATTTTGCTGACTGATTTTGAGTTTCAGACTCCTCTTGACTTTAACTAGTTCCCAGTGTTTTTAATAGTAGCCCTTCCCAAAAAATAGGTGGCACATTTCGGCATGCTGCTGAATATCATGGACTGGACGAGAAATGGAGGGTCCAAATTTAATGGTTGCTGTGCTAGCTTGATTTGATATTTTTAAACCAGTCCCGTTCCAGCCAGCCTCTCCAGAAACACACTTGAGCTATTAAGTTCTTCATAAGATTGTGAGAAAAATAGGCAATATAAATGGTGGTTTTTTGAAGTTGGAGGAGGGAGCAAACATAATGAAATGTTTCAAGTAATTTTGAATTAGATGATGTGGAGGAGACTGAAGAAGACAATAATGACCCTCCGTATCATGAAGAAGGCGCGGAACTAAGTGGTGCAGAGGTAGGAGATGAAGATGTTTCTGAATCCGCCGCCTCCACACCATCCAAAAGCTCGAGCGGCAAAGCAAGTGGCAAGAAGAGGAAATCTATTCCGTCTAGTAAAAGAGTTACCAAGCCAAAAAAACGGAGGAAGAAGGCTGGCGATAAATACGATGAGAGCATGGACGACGCATTGGTATTGACCCTTTATTTAATTTTCCTTATTAAGTGTCAATTAACGAAGTGAAAACACTTACTACTTAGGTCGCGTGTTTTTGAATTTCTTTTTTTAAGGAAAGTTTTAAATTTTGTTCGCGCTAAAATTTACTTTTTTGCTCTTTGACTTTAGATTTCTTTGTACGTTCAATTCAACTTCATCAAAATTGTGCGCTTGCGGATAACTCTTGAAGTTGAATTTTTTCCTTTTTTAAATTTTGTTTTGCCTGACTCAGCACTCTTTTTTCGTCCATTTCTCGATAGAGACTACTTTGAAATCTTTTCATGCTTTGGTTCTTTTTTGCCGAGCGATCTTCAATTTGTAGACTTTGCAATGTTTGTTTTTTGATATACTTTGCAGAAATTTTTTGCTATGAATGTGTTGATTATGGTATCAATTCCTCTGGTAAGATAAAAAAACTGAAAGACTTGTTACAAGTTTTTTAACGGTTTTTTGTTTCAACAATATCAGTAAAAATGTGAAAAATCAAGTATTGTAACATAGTGCTACACACGTACACTGGGTTATCCGCCATTAATAACCATAATTGGGTTAGCTAAATATTATTAAGATTAAATTTCAAGTCAAATTGTATAATATCAAAGTACTGAATTATATTTGCGTAATGAAAACAATATAGCTCTAGTTATTAGAGCAGTAGAGAATCTGAAAGAACCAAAACCAGCCAGCTCTGAATTGACTGATTAATACTCACTTTTATTAAAAGCATAGTCCTGACTCTCAAGAAGGGGTAGACATCACAAAGCGCATCCTTGAATCGAAGATACTGACAGGCAATCCAAGACATCCGTCTCATTGATAACAATACATCTAGAATACATAATTAAACGACAATAGCCAGTAATGGTATATTATAAGTATTGATATTAATACCCGACCATTATAAAAATGGGGCGAAATTTGGTATTCGGGTGTAGTTTTTTGTTTCCCTCGCAAAATCTGGTACCACAAATAATAATCGGAAAGTGTCGAGTGATATATCTATACCATAATTGCATATAAGCAATTGAAGCCTGTTACTACTACTACTACTACTACTACTACTACTACTACTACTACTACTACTACTGCTACTATCTAAGCCTTTCCAGTCGTGATTCGAACGACATTAAAAAACACGCACACTGGGTTATCCGCCATTAATAACCATAATTGGGTTAGCTAAATATTAGTAAGATTAAATTTCAAGTCAAATTGTGTAATATCAAAGTACTGAGTTATATACTCTACTAATCTGCAAAAACCTGAATTTTTTTCTTACGATTTCTTTTGCACACTTTTATCTTTAGCAGTGATAAAACTCCGCCCATTTCTCGGACAACCTGCCACAAGCTCATGGAGCTATCCGTTACCAATGTTTGGTTCATATCCGGAGAAGACTGGTATATCCAGAGAGACGGTGTAGCGTTGGGTGCTGCCATGGCCGTCATACTTGCAATCGTCTGGATGAAAAGGTTCTAACCAGCTCTGTCATCAGAAATGCCGGAACCACCGAAAAAAACCTGACAACTGTTGTGGCAAGTGCGGCGTAAAAGTTACTTTCCGCGGTTACTCAATCAGATGTAAGGTTTGCTGCAAGTGGTTTCATCGTAAATGTACCCCGTTCACCGTGGAAGAGCTTAAGCGCATGACTGCTTTAAGTTGGTGGTGCGGATGCACTGTTGACGAATCACGAAAAGCTCGAATGTTTAGTCGGTATATGGATGACATTCTGCGAAGTGCAAAGCCAGAGAACATCACTGGAATCTTAGAGAGAGTTAATAAACTTCATCAAAACATAGAGTTCACTATTGAACGTCAGGAAAATGGAAGTCTTCCATTTCTTGACATGCGCGTGAAACAGACCGGCGCTGATGTTGACACGACTTGGTACAGAAAACCAACTGATACAGGATTGACTCTTTTTTTTAGAGCTCTTGCACCGATGAGATACAAGAAGAACACTGTGCGAGGAACTGTGCATCGTGTGTTTAATGCCTCTTCCAACTGGTATGCTTTCACGGAAAGCATAACTGAGGTTGGAAGTATGCTGGAGAAAAACCAATACCCACCTCAGTTTTATGATTCGATCATCCGTGAGACTCTCAACAAGATCATTGAGAAACACATGAAACAAGACAACAGAAAATACCAAGACAACAAATACCAAGACAGAAAATACCAAGACAAAAAATACCAAGACAACAGAAAAAGCCGCCAAGAAATGGATACCCTTTTTTATGCAATATAGTGGCAACAAAAGTGACGTTTTCTCCAAGCGTCTCCGAAAAAGAGCCAATATTTCTGTCATCTTCACAACTAGACAGATGAAGACAGCCTTACCATCGCTGACACCAAAAATACCAGAGAATGTTCGTGGCAACGTGGTTTACGAAATCACTTGTTCTAGATGCTAGTCTAGCTACGTCGGGCAAACAACCCGGCACCTAGCCACGAGAGTGCACGAACATTCCAAAGGTACTAGCCCAGTAGAAGAACACCTCAATTGGTGTGGTGTTACCAATGACGGCTGCGAAGTAAAGATCATTGACACAGCAAGAGACTCCGCTAAACTTTTAACCTTGGAAGCCTTGCCTATCAACCAGAGAAAGCCTTCAATCAACCGGAAGGAAGAGTACAAGGCTCGCGAGTTGACCCTGAAGCTGTAACATTGTTACATTGTCCCACATTCCAGTGGCTTGTTCCAATCAAACTTGCTTATCACAGTTCTATCTGTTTTTAATTTCTTTCCAGTTTTCCTATTTTTTTAATCTGCTTTTAATTTGTACAATTTTGCTATTTTTTAGTTACTGATGATGACATAATGTCGAAAACGTTTTACCATTGATGTTTTTTCCCTAAGATCAGGACATTTTTCCGTGTCGAGAAAAACCGTTAATTTTTTCTTGATTTTTGGTCTAATTTCGAGCGCATATGGGAGCGAGTTGGCTTAAAATAGCTTATTTAAACTTAATTTGAGCCGTGAAAATTTATTTTTACTCGAATAATGTTTGTTTTTGGACTTTACTCGGTTGCGTCATTTTGGGAATCAAAAACTTAAAAATTAATTTCAAAATTCAAAAAACTCTGCCAAAATCTGGATTTTATTCTTACGATTTCTTTTGCACAGTAACCGGCTATCTTCGTTTTTTTGTCAATGCCAACTTTTAATTCGCGGTCATAAACGTCGATCCAGTTACTCTACTAAATCAGTTTTGACATTGTTTACACAAGCGTAGCTTGTGTTATAATATTAACTTTCTTCTTTTCCAACCTAAGTCGCAAATATTGTTGCGATGTAATTGTTGCTACGAAATGTTTATTTTGAAAGTGTTCATTTTGATGCAGCTTTAAAGCACAGTCAATGCTAAGGATTTGAACACAGACTTTTATATTACAAATAGCACTTCAAGGTATCTTGGATCTGTAGCTTAGATGTAGGGAAGGAGACCAGCAATAAAATAAGAGAGTTCGAACATGGGCAGGGTCAGATATTTTTAATGAACTTTTTTTGTATACTAGTTAAAATGCGTCCGCTCTATAAATTGGGGCATGTATATTTTTTTAAATCAAATTGACTGATACTGCTAATGCGTCATAATTGGCTTGCGTCACTTAGCAACTATGTAGACTCATAATTGGCGTGCGTCACTTGAGAATTTTGGTAGACTCGAAGTTTTACTCATTCAGTTTTTCCCCAGTAGCGTTATCGTTCATATTTTTGCTTGTGTATGCGAAGTGAAACTTCGCCTCTGTGTAAATATTTGTTTTAATCGAAAGTGTAATTTCATTTTGAAAAAGTTTTCATATTATTTGACGGTTTTGACGATATTGATTTTTCCATGTGTTGACGTTTTCATGATGACAAATAGTAGCTGAGTTCATGATGACAAATAGTAGCTGATTTTCTTGAATTGAATTTTGTTTTTCAGTTCAGTTTTGAGAGTTCAGTGAAGTTTTTGCCATAGTAATTCATGTTTGTTTCTCTAAGGGTGCGGAGGTGACCTTCGCCTCTTGGTAAAAGATTTTTTTAACGTCATTGTTATGCTTATCGAAGAAGGTTTCTAAGTATCAAGAGAAAAACATGAAATGAATATACTGTTGGATGAAATGGTGTATTTTTTCAGTAATGTACCAGATCGAGCTTGCGAGGCCAGTCCACTTTTTTTAAACATATTAGTGCAAAGTTTTGAACAGCATGTTCTAATTATATTCGCTTCATTGAAGATCATTCCTTACTGTCTGGTATCTAATGATGAAATGGGCGCAAAAGAGCATCAATACAAGACGCTATGGATAAGTGCTTGAGGAAAGTAATGTTTCGTCCAGTGTTCGAACTTGGAATCCCGTAGACTGTTTTTTTTTGTTTTGATGTAATTTTTTTGAAAGTTTTTTAATGAGATAATTTTGAGAAAAAAGAGCAAATCATGAATAATTTTTTTCAATTTAAAGAGCTCTAATTTGATATATTTGTTCAAAAAATTTTCAATAAACTTATTCAGCCATCTGTTGGCTATGATTTTTTTGCTGATTTCAGTCCTTTTTGGCGTATGAAAAAAGCGACTAAAACATATATGTTGTAAATTTTTTAGCAATTTCAACGCTTACCTCTTTTGCAATGTTAAATGTAGTCAGAAGAAAGGTTTGCACAGTAACTGGTAATCCTTATTTTTTTCCCTTGAATTAAGTGCTTTGAGATATTGTTTCGACCACTTGAAAAGCGTGGAGGAACTTTGTATTCTAGTGTTTTAATTTTTTCTTTTTGTTTTCCTCACAAAATAAGATACCAAGAAATCATCGCAATGGGTAGAGTGATATATCATATTAAAGTCTTTCAGTCGTGATTCGTAGAAAAATCCCTTTCAGTGTCGAGAAAAACCAGTTTGAAATTTTTGGACTATATTCAAGCTAATAAGGTGAGCGTGCAGGATTACAATAGCTCTTTTTGCTTAATTTGTGCCGTTAAAAATTAGTTTACTTGAGTAAAGTTAGTTTTTGGAGCTTTTTTAGCGCCAATTTGCGAGAAAAAAAATTATGCAAAAGAAAATGAAAACAATCTTTTCTGCGTTTTTTTTTATTTTCATTTTCGGCCAAAATTGTTTTAAAATTTTTTTTATTTACTATAACTGTCGAATATTCCTAAGTCCTAGTTTTTCGATTTATCACACCACGCAGAAAAAACGACACTATTGAAAAAATAATAATTTTTTTGAGACTGGTCTGAACATTCTGTGCTACTTGCACAGTAACTGGCTATCCTTGTTAGGAATGTTTACTGACCGATTTGAGAGTTTTAAGCACAGTCGATAGTTATTGGTCAGAAATCCGGTTGCAAATTTTTTTTCATCGGCAATCGAATTTCCCCTATTGATACCCTCAATTTCCGTTTTTAGCAGCCATATGTTTCAAAATTTTTTGAAAATCATTCTTGCGTGATATATCTCATAGGCTTTTATTTGATTTTTAAGCTTTATATTTTGCGAATTGGAGAAAAAGATGCAAGAAAATGAATTTTTTTAAAACGTAGAATGGCTACAGTTACTATGAGAATGAAAATATAGCGCCTTTTTGTTAACAGCTGGAGGCGCATTTGGACGAGAGTCTATATGAAGAAGCGCTCATGGCCGCAGAGGTGCCGGCATCTCTGGCTGCGAAAAAGAAAAAAGTAAGTTCAGCTACTTTGCGATGAAATTACAGTCATTATTTATTTCTCGAACCGTTTTCCAAACTTAAGAAAATGGTATGATGCTGTCCTTTATTGTGTTTTCTATTTGAAAAGTACACGAGTGGTGTCATTTCTCTTTTTGAAAAGTAATGATAATTTATTGGTTTATATTTAGTTGCGTACGCGCGGAAGGTTCGAAGTTTTTTGAAAATATTGCCGAATTTTATTTTGAAGATCGACCAATTTGATTTTCCGAGCTCAACTAATATCCTGCAAAGGCCCCTTGCCAAAAAATTTCTGCGCCGCACCCAAAGTTTTGAAAAACAGGCCAAAAATGACGTTTTTGAGCACCTTTACAAGGTTGTAACGATGAATTCGCGCGTGTTGGTGCCAAATTTAATGTCGGAAAAGTTATGAGGTTGGCCAACCTTAAATGGTTGTCGTAAAATAGTATGGAAAAAGTGGCTATACTCGGCACGCTACTGTATGCATTTACGATTAAAATGACGAGTAAATTGCACGAAGAAATCATTCGTTTTCGCAGAAATCTGTGAATGACTTGACCTCTGAATGGGGACTGACACACAACATCGAAATGGAGTACACGGAGTCAGATTACGAAGACTGTGTAGATCACAAATCTTACTCAAATAAAATCAAACCTATTTTGACCGAAGACTACCCAGATCTGACCCCAAGTCAAGTGACTGCACTGCTCAAGGCCTTCTGGCACGATTTCAAGGAAAAGAATCCTAAGCTACAAGCCAAAAAAGGTGAGAGCTTTTTTGCTCTTCAAATGATGCTGAAATTAAATTAAGGTAATAATTCCAAGCTTTTTTCTGAAAATTTTTGAAACAACCATCCAATGGAATATATACTAAATGGATATATACTGTATACTAAAGAAACAAATGAATATGTATTATGCACCTAGGAAATAGCGGGGTTTTGGGCTTGATCGATTTAATTTCGTTCTATCAATAGCTGTAAAACAATTTATGTATAAGCATCATTTTAAATCAAGTTTTCTAATAACATCAGCTTCAGTCAAAAAGTTTTCAAGTAATGCGCTGAAAGAAAGTAATGGGGAGTAGTCAAATTATCAATCCTTTAGACAAGCCTACGACGAGCACCAATAGGTCTGCGTCGCCTGTGGCAACAGAGAAGAAAGTGAAGCCCCTCAAGATCAGGCTTAGTGGGCCACAGTTTGGAGTGCACCCAGTTCCAGTAAGTTGGATTGATTGAATCGCATAACTAGCTTTTTGTAAGTTAGGCATGTACAAAAAGCATTTTTTTAAATGCAAAAGGCATGTGTAAATGTTTGTTAATTTTAGCCATATAACTCTTGTTGCGATATAAGACCAAAGATAACACCAAATGGGAGTAAATTTATTTTATTACACTTGGAGTACAAGTGTTTTGTAATTGTGTAATCTTCCAGGGTTAACAACTTTTTCTAAATTAAGTGAGTTGACGAGAGCTGCAATGGCTCGCTAAATGTTCTGAAATGTTCTACATGGAACTTTGTGAAGTCCTGTTTATGTATCTATTCCTCGTTTCTTGATCTTTTATCTGACGTTGTAATATGCTTATCGTTTTCGTCTCAGTTTTTGTCGGCTTAATGGAACTGCGTGACTTTTGTTCTGTGTCAATTACTCGTTTCTTGATCGCATATCTCGCGTTCTAATTGTTCGAGTATGCTTCCCGCTTTTGTGTCGGATTTCACTTGGTATCTTGGCTCATAATGAATTCAAATTTGCTGGAGTCTACGGCACACTTGGTTTGGAGGTAACGAATATACCTGGGATGGCAAAGGTCTAGAATTCTACAGAGCTGTTTTTTTTCAAAGTAAATATTCCATAAAAAATTTTATCGCCCTGCATTTGTGTGCGTATGTTTTTTCGGCTTTTTTGTGCTGTGCGCAATTTTCAATGTAGTTATTTAAGTGTTTTGATTTGTTCCTGCGATTTGTAATTTCGTATAAATTTTCCTTTTTTTTTATAGTTATTCTGCCCAAATGATTCCGGTTTATGTTTCATTGACTTAGTTACTGAATTTTAGGTCGTTGCGAGGGAGGTATACTTTTAATGCACTTTTCCGGTCTCACAAAATGCTCAAAATCTATGAAAAGAATTTATAGTTTAAAGTTTTTCATGGCAACAATTTTTTCGTTTTTACTGGAAATAAGTTTTGTAGGCTCAGTTGCCGCACAGTAACTTGTGTTCTGCTTTATAAATTCCTATATGTGCAGGTAATTGATTTCGAATAAACTAGTTTAAACTCTTTAATGTATGTTTTGTTTTTGACGATTGTGTGCGTAAAGGAACCAGCTTGGAAATAAATGTTTTTTGTTCAATTTCTCAGGTTAATGTTTTCGTATAAAATTTTGCCGCTCCTCAGTGGTTAAATTTCTCTGTATAAGCTGTTTATAGCCAATTTGTTAGTTGTGCATGATGATAAATATAGTAACGATCAGCTTACTGTATTATCACGAAACTTTTTTTACTAACCTAACTCGCAAATATAAGTGTTCAGTAAAAGTGTTCACTTATTTGGAAGTTTTACTGTAGCATTGGAAATTGCATAGCATCTGTTTTCTGCTTTATTTATGGCTAGTTTTTGATGCCTATTGAGCGTCCGTGGCTGATTGGTCAGCGTGTGAGACTCACAAACTCCAGGTCGCAATTTCGAACCCGAGACGTAGCCGAATTTTTGCTTATTCGAGTTTTAGTTATAATTTTTCTTATAGTAGTTTATAGAGCTGCTTCTTGTGGTGTTCTCGTTAGTGTCTGCGAAGTGAAGCTGATCCTCTGTGTTGAATTGATTTTATCGATGCTTTTAAAAATATAGTTTTTGCGAAATTTGTTTAGTTGTTTTTTAAACATTTTTTTAACGTTGCGATTAGTCAAAATATGAGTGGAATGTTTAATATAGTTCGATAGCCATCGGTTTGAGTCGTAAAAAATTTTTTTGATGGTTTTTTTGTCATATTAAACTTGAGTCAAAATGATAAAAATCAAGTTTTTTCTTTGATTCGGTCTGTGTTGTTGAATTTTTGAAAAATTGCAATAGAATCTATGACAATAAATAGTGGCTCATCTAAATTTAAGATTCAATTCAATTTTAAGGGCCTGAAATAAATTAAGTTAGTTCGAATGTATGTCCTTCATTTTTGTATCGCAAGTGGTGAGAAGTTCTTCGCCTGTTAAAAATATGAATTTTGTGCAAAATAAGTTTTAGTTCCGTTAATTAAGTTCTTAAATGGTGGTGTAGTGTAGACTTATGTGTACTCGCTAGTTTGTAAGGCGGTGTTAAATAGGGGACCAAAATAATTTTGGAACCGAGTCATTTTCTTTAAACTGAAAAATTTAACATGAGTTTTGAAATTTTTTTTCTTTCTTATTTTTTTAAATTGAGTTTTGATATTATAAATTTTGTATTTGTCTTATTGCTGACTGTTATTTTGTCTTGCTGATTAATTTTTTTATGTTGATTTGTGTCTAATACGTGTTCAGAAGGCTGCAGTTGAGAAGGTTCCCGAAAGCATTCATAATATCGAAGATCGGAGGAAACATTTACTTAAACTTTAATTCGATTTCAAAAAGTTTTTTTTTTGTTAAGAGAAATTGGGTTGCAGCTATCAGTGCTACAAAGCAGCAACCGACTGTACTTTTTGATTTCGTTTTCTTTGCACTTGCGTATTATAAAGAACCTTTTATTTCTAGCCTAAGTAGCAAATATTGGCGCGGCACTCTTAATGGTGGGGCACCTTTACAGCTTTTTGATAGCTTGTGCTTTGACAGTCGAATAGTAATAAGTAAACACAGTCATCAAATGAACCGAAAAATGCTATTTGTTTCCAACAACAATAATAAAAACTCGATTTCGCAAATTTTCGAACTCAATATATATCGCAATTTTTTTGAAATGCATAATTTATACATCATGGGGCTTTATGCTTTGCGATTTGATACAAGAAAAGTTAGTGGATGCCTTCAGTTTGTTATATTCCAAATTATAACTTGCAAAATTGTGTTTGTATTTGGTGCCACTATTGCTTAATCGTATTGGTAATTTGTTAGCATATGTAGCTGCTTTAGTCGTGACTAGTGGTTGTCGGTGAATAAGCGTGCGTGGCTGAGTGGTGTGTGCGTGAGACTCAATATCTATTGATTGCAGTAGGTCGCAGATCGAAAAATAGACCTAGTAGAGTTTTGCTAATTCGAGGCTTATTTCTATTTTTTCTTTTTACACTTTCTAGAGCTGCTTTTTGTCGTGTTCTTGCTAGTTTTGCGAAGCGAAGCTTCACCTCTGTGTTTATTTCGCAAAGGCTTTTATGCTGATTTTGTTATTGTTTCCGTTTCTGTATCATATGTTTTCAGCTTGGTTCGTTTTACCAAATTGACTGCCCTTTTCTGGTTTTGCATCGAGTAATCTGAGCACTTATGAGTTGAATTTTTTTTTATTGATGTTTGAAATATTTGGTTGATTTTTTTTGCTCTCCAGGTTTCGCCAAGTTTAATTGTTAATAATACTTCAAAAATATATTTATTAGTAGCACGTTGCTCTTATACAGTTTTGATTGTTTTTGTTTAGTGTTTATGTTACTTATCAAGTTACTGTTATGAGAATTGTTTATTGATCTCTTCATGAGCTTCCAAGAAAGTTGAAAACTTATGATTTCTGTTTAAGAGTAATGAACGTACTGAAAACTCGTATATAGGTCTTGCTGATTTTTTTTTTCACGAAGTCTCTTAAAATGTGCATAGAAGTCTCTTATAACTATAGATGTGCCATCATTCATATTGATGCATTTATGAATGCACTTAGGTATATATGCACTTTTTGAGTTCAAGTGAAACTCATCAGCTGCTATAAGTGATGGAAATAGCTTTCTCCAAATACGAATGTGTAAATGGCGCAAAAAAACGTGAACGATTTCTAGTTTCGAAAGTGTAATTTAATTTTAAGAGGAATAAAAACTTTACCTGTTGATCTAGCTTTCTCAAGTTGGGTTTATGTTAGCAAGAAAGCGCCAGTCGTAAATCGTTCTAGAAATTCAAAGAGCTTAAAGGGCATCTATTTTTTTCTTTGAATTTTGAAAGTCAGTTTTTTTTTCGATTTTTTTCTTTGAATTTTTCGACAAAGTCAGTGTTTTTTTATGCTAACTTGCGTTCGTTATTCTTTTCCAATCTTCGATTGGTTATGTTCATGAAGTTGTAATAGTTTTCATTTAAATAATAACAACAGAGCCTAATGGTTCTCGCACCCCCATTTTTTATAAATAAATTTATAGTTTTTCATCGCTGTTGATTTTAAGTTTCCTTAAAAAAGATTATTATTTTTTAAAGAGCGAAGACGAATCAAACGATGCTCCTTATGTTGTGGGTACAAGCGGCGATCTTGATGCGGTCTCCCTTGACGGGTCAAAAGTTGATTCGAAGTCGCCGAACGATGACGCGGCAGCTGAACCACTTAAAAAGGCTAAGACGAAAACTGGACTGGGTCAAGGCAAGGTGAGACGCAAGCGAAAGCCTCAAGTTGTGACGGGAACTAACTTGGGAACCACATCAGCCGAGGGAATCATTAGGACTGGAAAATGGAAGAAAGGAAGCGGAGAGGAGGCCGAATATGATACGAATCATCAGGACTTCTGCGAGGAATGTCACGCTGGAGGTGACATTCTTCTATGTGACAACTGTCCAAAAGCGTACCATCTGGTATGCCTGGACCCACCTCTGGAAAAACCGCCGGAAGGGGCATGGCTGTGTCCCAATTGCCCGAAAGATATAGATAGAGGAGCAAGTGGGTCCACAGAACCCCCTGCAGTTGAAGAAGCCTATATAAGTGAAGAGGACGAGCACCAGGAGTACTGTAAAGCATGCAGACAAGGAGGCCAGCTGCTTTGCTGTGCCATGTGTCCCTCCACATACCATTTGGGATGTCTGAACCCTCCCTTATTGGAAATACCAGATGGTGTATGGGTCTGTCCGCGTTGCTCCGTAAGTTATTTTGAGCAGTTTTTTTTTGCATATAGAGGCTTCGATGGGTTTTCGGATTAAATCCCTAGACGGGCTAATTATCACTTGAATTACAATTTCAGGAATGATTAGAGTTGTATTAATTGCTAGGGAATGTAAGTTTTACCGAGCGAACTGTCTTTTTCACCATTGGTCTCAGTTTTAGTAGCAAAAATAGAACTAGGAGATTTTTTTGTCCAAAAGTGGCGTCGAAGTAATGATATGCATTTAGAGTATAGATCCTCATGCAGAAATGAAAACTACCATTAATAGTTGTCTGTTAATGAAATGAAGGTTTTTATTTCAGTCCTGTTTATTTTTTTTCCGGAAAAAAATTTAAATCTGTTCAAACTAAAATTTGTTTTTTCTCGGTTTGGTTTTGATTTCTTTCCAAGTTCAATTCGAAGTTATTCGCCAAAGTAAGTCAAATTATGGTCTCCAATTAAGACAAATGGAAACGGAGCGAAAACAAATCTGAGCGACTCAAAGAGAATTTTAATTTTAAGAATTCCCTGCAAAATTATTGATTCATTGATTATTTTTTCTATCTTTTGATTCAATTTTCTAAAATTTGGTGGGATTTATAAATTATTCTTTAAATTCAAAACGATCGAAGGGGTGAGATATATAAATTATTCTTTAAATTCAAAAAGATCGAAGGGGTGAGATATATAAATTATTCTTTAAATTCAAAACGATCGAAGGGGTGAGATATATAAATTATTCTTTAAATTCAAAAAGATCAAAGATGATGTTTTTTCTATAAAACTCGAAAGTGATCTTCGTGTTTCGGTTTCCTGGTGTTTATTGACACCTTTTCAAGAGTCTGTTGGCTATGTTGACTGAAAAACATTTAGTTTTTTGTGTTCTTGACAGGTGGGTGAGTTGAAGAAGAAGGCGACAAAGATTCTGTTCTGGCGGTGGGTGAGGCCCTCGGAGGCGGAGTTAGTGGCGGTGGAGGGGAGGAAGACTGGGAACATGAAGCCCTGGAGGGAGTTCCTCTGCAAGTGGGAATACCTGTCCTATTGGAAGTGCCAGTGGGTCACCGAGACACAGGTCAGTCCTTGTCTAGTTCCTTCCGAACTCATCAGCAATATTTATCTTAAGACTGTTCTAAGTGTAGAACACTTAATGCAGCAAAGAAATAATTTAAATACGTGTTTTTGTGCAATAGTATTCAGAAAGGAATGTTTTTGATGATGTAATTCGTTTGCAGAACTTCGAAAGAATCTTATCAGCTTTTAAGTGCTCGGAGTATAGTAGTTTTTTTGAGATGGCTTCTATTTCTCGCTACCTTGTTCATAGGTTTAATGAGTTCAAGGGAAACGAATGTTCTAAATTGTTTGTAAACCTAATTTGCATCAATTTAACAGTTAAAAAGTTTAGGATTTGGAGCTTAATAGTTTGTACATAACTAGTTGAGTTTGTTCTTTGTGTAGCTGGAGATCAGCCAGCCGGGAATGCTGAGGAGCTACATGAAGAAGATGGGAGACATGGAAGAGCCCCCTCCGATCGAGGACGGCAGCTCCTTCGGCAAGAAGCGAGGGGGCAAGGACAGTGCTCACAAGGTCAATGCGGAGCTGGAGGAAAAGTACTACCGTTATGGGATCAAACCGGAGTGGCTGCAGATACACAGAGTCATCAATCACTGGTCAGTAGCTTTCTTAAAGTCAAATTTCTTGCGAATGATTAAACAGCCAAAGGCTCAATTGATAATTTGACCTATTTAGCTCTTTGCGGAGAACCGCTTTTTTGTCCTTGCTTAAGAGCTACATGCATTTTTGCTATTATTTTTCTGGGCTGAGATTGCTTGATCACCCGCAAGTAATGAGCTCGGATCATGGTGGGGCTCGAACCACCTACTTTTCAACTGAGAGGTGGAGGCCGCAGCCACTTCACACTCGCTCCGCTGCCGTAAGACAAAAGTTCAGCAAAGTAGCGGGAGTTTGATGAGATTTATCGGCAGAAATTTACGCTCAAATAATTTTCTTGGAAAATGAGAAGAGAAAAGAACACATAATTTTAAAAATCATATATTTTTCTTATGAAAATTTGTTCTGCGAAATTGATTGGGACATTGAGCCACCCGCAAAAATAATGATTTTTAAAAAATATTTAAAGATAAGTTTAGTATCATATCATCAACGAAAACAAATTTTAGGGACCCCGATCGTAACAAGAGGTACTACCTAGTGAAATGGCGAGATCTCTCGCACACAGAATGCTCGTGGGAGGCTGAGAACGAGTGCCAAGCCACTGACTTTGACAAGTTCATCCTGCAGTACTGGCACAACAGAGACGTCATGATGGACATCCATTATCTGAAGCTGGAGAAGAAGGGACTTCTCATAGGAGACAAGCTGAAGAAGAAGAAAAAGCTGAGAGCAGAGTCGAAAGTAGAGGACAGGCTGGCCAAGAAAGTCGATGTGAGTCATTTTAACATCTTCAGTCGCTTAAACTTTGTGTAAAAGTTGACCATATCATGTCTCAGAAAACTTTCAAAAGAAATTTAAAAGTACAAGAACATTCAATAAAATGGCTTAAACTTTGGTTTAAGAGCATAAATTCATTTTTCAACTTTGAAAGCACGAACTAAAAACGTAGTTTTTTTGCAATAGTTTCTTTGCGACAGTTTTTCGGCGTGGTACATGTTGTGCATTATTTTGTGTTGTTGATGCCTATTTGTTTGGCAATTATTTTTTTTCGGTTAACGAAATATTGAACAAAAATGGCTCTTTTGACGGTGGCATTTATTTTCATACTCATTTCAATACGTAAAAACATCTTTAAAAAACCAGTTAACCTAAAAAGCACTTTTTTCCAATTAAAAAGATCAAGCTCAACGGTATTGCCAACAATTTGGCTTAATTTATAAACAAATATTAGCCTGAAGTGGTGTTTGCAAATAATTGTGTAGCTGAGGGTGAAGTACGAGAAACAGCCGGACTATCTGGACACGACTGGCGGCAACCTGCACGAGTACCAGTTGGAAGGACTGAACTGGCTGCGCTTCTCCTACTCACAGGGAACTGACACTATCCTGGCTGACGAGATGGGACTGGGAAAGACTATCCAGACCATCTCTTTTCTCTACTCCCTGTACAAAGAGGTAATTAGGAAGCAATCATACTACTGGAATGCTCCAACTAGATTTCATCCATTGATAATGAGCAATTATAAAGAATCGATGAACGTTGTTCAGACTCTTATATAGGTCGTGATGTTTTTTTGTTTTTCAGAAGTATTAAAATTTGCTCAGGCTAAATTTACTTTTTCGCGGGTTGATTTTTGATTTCATTTTAACTTCAGTTTATTTCCTTTATTGAATGGAAGGCAAACTCCACTATCGAACAGAGAAAGTGTAAAAGTCGCAAAAAACTTGATTGACTTTAGTTTCGAAAGTGGAGATCGTTTTTAAATTTCCTAGCTGAATCAACACTTTAAAATCGAGTTTTGTCAAATTGGGTTAATTTTATCAAAAAAGCACAAATCATAAATTGTTCTAGAAATTCAAAGAGCTCTAAGGCTATCTATTTTTTTCTAATGAGGTCTTTTTCAAAAAAAAAAACAAGTCTTTTCCAACTGTCTGTTTGCTATTTTTTGGCGTGACATGAATATCGAACAACAAAGAAAAGTCTGAAAACTGATATTAGATCGGTAGTAAGAGCTTAATTACATGATACACCTAATAATATGGATAGGTTAAGTACCATGGCTGCTTTTCGATTGAGAAATCAGAAACTCAACTTGGCGAAGATTTTGTTCTTCTATTTTAATTTGATGGAAATATGATATTTACAAAAAATTGAAGTTATCGCCTTTGTTTTTGATTAAATTGAGTATAAGGCTAACGTCTTGTCTATGTCAGTAGTCCAAGCATTATTGGTCTGGTTTTAGGGTCATAGCAATGGACCATTTCTGGTGGCGGCCCCCCTTTCCACAATCATCAATTGGGAGCGAGAGTTTGAGTTCTGGGCGCCGGAGTTTTATGTCATCACCTATGTGGGAGGCAAGGATGCCAGGGCAATTATCAGAGACAATGAACTGACCCTTGATGAGGACAAAGTTAACAAGCAACAGCTTCGAATCAAGGTAGATCTTTGTAGTATTTACTCAAGCGAGTTGTGAAGCAGCCGGAAGCCGGGTCTCGAATCCGTAGTCTCATAATTCTTTTGTAAAGCTTGCTATGTCTCTTGGACGAAGTGAACGTTCACTTATTTGGGTCGTGTTTTTTTTTGTGGAATTGGCGGATTGACTTCAATTTTTTTGAACGGAGTCTTCAAATTGTTCAAAGTCAATTATACGTTTTTGCGGTACTCTCGGCGATTTCTTGAATCCACTGGAAATTCAGTTGCTAAATAGAAGGTAAATTAAATTCTCTAATTACGAAATTGCAAATGACGTTTAAAATCCGATTTTAATTTTTTTGGATCATTGATCAAGTGACAACAAAGAGCCAATCATGAAAGATTCTGAAATTTCAAATAGATCTGAAGCAAAATTTTTTCTCGGAGCCCTTGTTCGGTTTTCTTTTTCATTGGCACTCCCAAATGTCTGCTGGCTCTGTTTATCTCTTTCTAAATTGTGCATTCTTGCACTAATTAACGGTTCGTAGAATAGTAGAGGATAGAATGAAATAGCGTAGAATGGCATGGAACAACAATTTTTATAGCGTCCATCAAATTTGTACTCGTTATACTTTGTAGTTGCCCCATTTCTGAAAATTTTGTTTTCAAGGCAAAAATTTTGCTTTCTGCTAAAAATTTCAAAAAATTTTATTTCCATTTTATGCTTGATTTTTGCGGTTGTTCTGGTAGTTAAGGTTTCTCGGAAAGTTATGAATACCCTCGCTATGAAAACTACTTTGCCCGAAAAATATCCAGTCCCCCGCTTATGTTTGATCCCCTCCTCTGTAAATGAAGTAAGGCAGAGTATGCTAACTGCACGTTTGCCTCTGTTCATAACTTTTCGATTGAAGTTTTTTTTTCGCCACTCATAATTTGGTGATTTGTTTCAGGAGGGCTCAACTCTGCAATTTCATGTGCTTCTGACGTCATATGAGTTGATTAGTGTCGACTGCACTACCCTACAATCAATCGACTGGTCTGTTCTGGTAGTGGATGAAGCTCACAGACTCAAAAACAGCCAATCAAAGGTTAAATATCAGAGTGCTCTTGAGTTGAAGGAGGCCTACACAATCATTCTTTTCTTGAAATGGGATCTAGTCAATAATATCTCATCATGTGGTACTTAATAACGAAACCCGCTTTAATATGATCAGCGAAACATGCGACTGTTTGATTCCATTTCTCAGAAGAGCTGTACTGAACTTTTCGTTTTATGAGCAATACAGGGGAGTTTTTAGTAAATGTAAATTTGGAACATTCAAGGTAAATAGTCGATAAAAATATGTGAGAAAGCTTCAGTTGATTAAAAATGCTAGAATTAGTCGTAATTTTTCATGATCAAATTGTAAAAACTATTTTATGATTTCAGTTTTTCCGAGTCTTGGATTCATACAAAATCGACTATCGACTGCTGCTAACTGGAACTCCGTTGCAGAACAATCTAGAAGAATTGTACCATCTGCTCAATTTCTTATCTAGAGACAAGTTCGGATCCATCCAGGAGTTCCTGGAACTATTTTCGGACATCAGTAAAGAGGAGCAAGTGAAGAAGCTTCACGATCTGTTAGCCAGTCACATGCTACGAAGACTCAAACAAGACGTACTGAAAGATCTCCCGAGCAAGAGTGAGTTCATTGTGCGCGTAGATCTAGCTCCTATGCAAAAGAAGTATTACAGACACATTTTGACCAGGAATTTTGAGGCGCTGAACTCGAAAGGAGGCGGAGCTAATGTATCGTTGTTGAACATAATGATGGAACTGAAAAAGTGTGCTAACCACCCCTATTTGTTCAACACGGCTTACGAAGAGGCGCCCAAAAAACCAAACGGAGTGCCAGAAGGCAATGCGCTGATCAAAAGTTGTGGGAAGCTAGTTCTTCTGGAGAAGATGTTGAAGCACCTCAAAGAAACAGGACACCGAGTGCTCATTTTCTCCCAGGTTATTATTGTTAATTTAATCTATAAAGGTTTACGCGGTGACTGCTCAGTGCAAACAAATTGTATCATTCTGGCACAAAATAGAACTGCTTTCCATGTTTCTTCATGTCTGTAGAAATCGTTTCGATAGAAATGAAAAAAAAGGAACTTATTGTTGTAGATGACAAAAGTCCTAGACATTTTGGAAGACTTTTTGGAGTACTTGAAGTACAAGTACGAGCGAGTGGACGGGGCCATCACAGGCCAGGTGCGACAGGAGGCAATTGACAGATTCAACTCCCCCAATGCGGAACAATTCGTGTTTCTGCTCTCTACTAGGGCTGGCGGACTGGGAATCAATCTGGCAACTGCTGACACTGTTGTCATTTATGACAGTGACTGGAATCCACACAACGACATCCAGGCAAGCGAAGAAATAGTTTGACCTCGTTTACCTAATTTGTGACTAAGTTAAAAAGTAATATATGAAATTGCAGGTAGTGAGCTGAAATTGATTAAATATTACATGGGAAGGAGCTTAAATTGTCTAAGGTGATTTTGCAAAACAGTGCTATTGTCTTGGGTGATTTTTATGTTTCGCGAAACAGTGTGGCAAAAGACACAATTCTAGCAATGCTCGCAGTCGCTCGATACTCGTTGTTGTTTGCCGGTTACTTGGATCAAATTGTTGTTATCATGTTATCCTCCCGCAATCAGTTAACATTGGTACGGAAGTGTTTAATTACATAATAACTAAAGTGTTATACCGGGGGTTCATTATTTGAAAGTGTCTATCAAAAGCCCTTCAGCGACTTTCGATGAAGTCGCTGAAGGGGTTCAAATTACTGAGACGAGAGGATCGTGAGGCCTTTTGTTGATTCTTTTGGTTATTGAATCTGTCTATGGATAGACTAAGATACAACGAGCATAACTCCAAGTTATCTCGTTGTTTTGTATAGGCGTTGAGTCGAGCTCATAGAATTGGACAGGCGAACAAGGTGATGATCTACCGCTTTGTCACTCGTAACACAGTCGAGGAAAGAATCACACAGGTGGCCAAGAAGAAGATGATGCTCACCCATTTAGTGGTCAGACCTGGCATGCATAACAAGGGCGCAGCGGGAGGAGGGGCCAACATGAGCAAACAGGAATTGGACGACATTCTCAAGTTCGGAACGGAGGATTTGTTCAAGGACGACGACGCTAGTACGTAATATATCGAATCTTAAAAATCTCCATGGTATATTCAAATGTCAGAAATCTCATAAAAGAAGCGAGATAGTCTCGGTGTAACATACAACAATTTCATGCTGCTGGTACTATTAAGAGTAATGAACGTAGTGAAGACTCTTATATAGGTCTTGCTGATTTTTTTTTTGTTTTTTTTTTTCAGGAAAAAGTCTTAAAATATTGATGCACCTAGGTATAATGCATTGAAATTCATCTGCTGAAAGTGACGTAAATAGCACTCTCCAAATACGAAAGTGGAAATGGCGCAAAAAAACGTGAACGATATCTAGTTTCAAAAGTGGAATTGGATTTTTAGATTTCAAACGGAATAAAAACTTTAAGATCATTTATCCACGCGGGATAGGACCAACATACGAGCTGTACAGCTCATCACGGCGAACCGCTGTTGTGCCCCTAACTTTACCTATTGATCCAGTTTTCTCAAATTGGGTTACTGTTATCAAAAAAGCGCCGGTCATAATTGTTCTAAAAATTTAAAGAGCTTGAAGGGCATCCATTTTTTTCTTTGAAATTCGAAAGTTGAGATTTTTGAAGCAAAGTCAGTGTGTTTCTTATGTTTACTTGCGTTCATTACTCTTTTTCAATCTTCGATTGGCTATGTTTAAATTGACTTGACAATGAAAGAGAATGGGTGTATTCAATAAGAGAAAAGATTGGCTGACTTTTTTCTTCCTTTTTTCGGAGTAAGTTTTATGATCGTTGAAATCTGTTGAAATCCTTTGTCTCGTCTCACTTTTTCTTATTAGCTTGCCCTTAATTAAGTGTGGATTAAAAGGTAATCTCAACATGACTAAAACTTTTAAAACAGTTATAAAAAATTGGTTTTCTCTAGGCACAAGTGAAGCAGGTAAGCTTCGAGTTCAGTAACTCAACTGCATTTAAGTTACGATTATGTTTCCCGACAGTACTATTGAATGGAATTTCGAGAAAGAACGTTCCAGAAAACTTCCTTCTTCAGCCTAACGAAAGTCTTCAATTAATTCTTTCTGACATTTAAATTGATTCTATTGCTGTATCCTTCTCGCTGTACCCGTCTTTCTTTTTTCTCGTCATGGGAACATTGGTTCATAATGATGTCAGTTGATTGAGAATCACTCAGTTTTATTTCAAGTAGAAGTACCAACAGCTTCAAAATGTGAAGGTAACCAGTTTGAGTTCAGCCTCGAAATTTCTTCGGATGACATTTCAGTTTCATATTTAAAGAGGTCATATGTGAATTGTTGCCAAATTTTCCGTTTCCTTTGTTTAGAATTGACCAAAACTGAAACCTAAATTCTCAAATATAAAGGAACATATCTCTCAAATAAATTAAGTTTCGATTACAAAACAATCTAATATTCTGAATTGAATTCTATAATCGAAATGTTTGACGAATTTCAACCGCTCAGGCTCAAGATTTCTGATCTATCCAATTGTCTGTAAATCATTATTATCATTTTTGGGCTATTCGTGCCGCTTGTGTATTGTGTTTTGTGTTTAACAGGCCAAGATGGTAATAAGGAGGACGCGATTGTGTATGATGACGAGACAGTGCGTAATCTGCTGGACAGGAGTCAGGAGGGCATAGAGGAGAAGAACAAACTGTTGGACGACTACTTGTCCTCTTTCAAGGTCGCGTCCTACATCGTCAAGGAGGTCCAACAAGAGGAGGAGGAAGAGGTGAGGGAATCTTATCGATTGCTAGGCTAAATTCACCCGCAGTTAACATGTGAGAGTTCAACTTGAGTAGCAATTGAGGAAACAAAACTGCTCTTCATGTTAAGTAATGCAACATAAATACACTATGATAAACAAGGCTTAGAGCTGAAACTGCTACACCGGATATTGCAGCAGGATCCGATTAATTGGAAGTATCAAGTTCTCGGATGTGGTAGGCCTCAATTGTATATTGTCTATGAAGCGGAAGTTGTGGTTTAGATCCGGTGTTCTTCAAGTTTTTCGTTTATTAGGGTGATTTTTTCTTTCAAGGCTTGTTTTTAATTTTTTTTCAAACTTTTTTTTCAAACCTACAAGGCCACTATTTTTTCACCAAATTCGCAATTATTGCCCTACTTTAATTGGCATCTTTATTTTCACAAAAGAGTTGGAAAGACCGGCTACTCCTCTGTGTGAAAATTTCAGTTGGTGAATTTTTCACCTGTTTTTAATTTTTCTTTTTTTCGAAAAAAACTTGCCAAATCTGAGAGTTCAATTTAAAAAATCTCCCCTGCATAAGCTGTTCCGCTGTTAATTTGCAGATAAAGAGTTATGGTCTCGGAAATTATCCAATTTTTGACCTTTTCTTGGATAATTTTCCTTTTTTTGAAAATTACCGTGCCAAAAATCTGAGATTAAAGGTTCAGTTGCAATAACTATCCTCTCTGCATAAACGGGTTTACCGGTTTCTGTAAAAAATTAAGCATAAATTAAAGCCGTAGAAGTTGTGTAATTCTTGATATTTTGACTTTTTTTACACTACCCTGCCAAATCTGAAATTAATGGTTTGATCATGAGAAAAGTTAGCTTGGCATTGTACCTTGGCATTGTAATAGCAACTGTAGCTGCTTTATTGGCAGCTAGGTTGGTTAATTTGTAAGCGATTGCAGCGCAGATGCAAAATAACGACACTCATAATCTCAAGGTCAGAGGTTTGCTTACGCATGTCAAGGCTTTTCTTTCTTTCCTTTTTTTGTTTGTGACTTTTATCATTTTTTTTGCCGTTTTCACGCTTGTGTTTGACAAATGCAGCTTCGCCTCTGAGTGAAAATTTTGAGTTTTTTTTGTCAATGTTTTTGCTTCTGTATGCGAAATTCGGCTTCGCCATTGTATATATTGCTTACAATAAAACTTTATTGAGAGCTCACCTATTTGATTCTCAAAATTTGCTCTTGCTGGAATTTGATATTCCGCGGTTCTACTTTTGATTTATTTTCAAGTTCAGTTCATTTTCTTTGGTAAAAGGAAGGCAAACTCCACTATTGAAGATGAAAAGTGTAAAGGTAACGAAGAACTTGATCAAATTGTAGTTTCGATAGTGGGTTATAAATTGCAGTTTACTAGCAGACAAAAAATTTAGCTCTCGAGCCCGTTTTCTCAAATTGAAATTATTATAAAAAAAATGTCAGTAATTAATGGGCATTCAAATTTGAAGATGTTTAAGGGTATATATTTATGTTTTTGGAAATTCGAAAGGTGAAGTCAATTTTTCCGTCTCTTTGCGTTCATGGCCTTTTCTATCTGTATTTTCATTTTTTTCGTGCGTTTTAGAGCTCCTTTTTTGCTCTAGTTTGCATTGTGCAGCTTCCACTTTTACATGATTTTTTCTTGCTACGAAGAATTATATTTTCTAGATTTAATCATTTCATTTTGATGGGATTTTCTTTTGGTTGTTAGGACGAGGTGGACACAGAGGTAATCAAGCAAGAAGAGGCCACTCCGACCACGGATCCAGAGTACTGGGAGAAGCTGCTGAGACACCACTACGAACAGGAGCAGGAGAACCAGACCAGAGCACTGGGCAAGGGCAAAAGGGTGCGCAAACAGGTCAATTACTACACCGACCAGATACCCATCTCCACCAGACCAGAGGAGGATGGTAAGTCTATCTCTCTCGATCTCTCAAAGATAATCGATTCCTACTTTTCAATCTAAAGCTCAAAACAGAGATCGGGGTAGCTAGGTAAGCTTATTGGTTGAAAGCTGCTTCTACCAAGAACATTTAATCCCCGTTTAAATTGATCAACATGGGGTTTGCTCGGGATATTTCGGCGTTGCCTTATCAAACTTTCTGATCAAAGGCTAGTTGTACTCTTCTATTGCCTCAGTTTTTGGAGTGGTCCAGCTATTTCAAGAAACTGAGAAGACCATAAGTAGAGTAGAAATAGTGTGTAAGTCTGTTTGTATTTAGTGGAGTGGGGTCAAGATGCTGATGATTATGACTCAGACTTCTCGGGAGAGGGCCACGAAGGAGGAGAGGAGGGCGACAACGAGTTCAACACGGGCGACGGAGTCACGGGAGAGAGACGCCGAAAGAGGAACCGAGATGTACTCCCTCCTCTACTCGCCAAGGTCAACGGAGCCATCGAGGTCAGAACTGAAAAATGCTGGATTTTATTAACTGGATCTTATTCTAGATTTCCCAGTGGATTAGAAAAATTAATTATTGGCACAGTTTTCTCTGGTTCGCTTTTTCTCTTGTAAAAAGTGTCAGTCAGAATTTTAACGTAATCCATTCTTTCGAAAGTTAACAATTGTTTAAAAAGTCTACCATTTTTTGTCTTCGATGAATTAATTTTGTCGGCTATAACTCGATCATGATGCTGGTTCTGAAATGATGAAAAACAGGCGAATTTATTGACTTCATCGGACTTCTTGAGACCTAAAACAAGTTTCTTTGTTGCCTCGATTTTTCTGTGATCTTTTTCTTTGGCAGTGAACTTGGTCGTTTCTCTGAAAGGATTGTAAAGGGCTGCCTAAATCGAATCGGTTACTAAATATCTCTCCATTTGTACCCAATTTTTTAGTTGGATTTTGGGTAATAGTTGGATTGGTTACCTACAATTTGGTCACAGAATTTTGAGGCCAACTTAGATTATACATGTTAGGGTCTTGTGAAGTTAGTTGAAATATGATTGCATTACTTTGGTAATCTGACCAGACCAGCTGAGTCGTATCATTTTTTTAACCCAATACTAGTTGCTTAATTTGAATTTCGTAACAAGAATATTATGTGTTCTGAATCTGAATAACTGATACAATGCATGCCTCTACTATCTCGTTGTCTAACTGAGAACATTTTTTTTCTTCCCATTTGGAGTTTAGATTCATTGTTTTAGTTGCATTGTTTTGGAATAGAAAAATATGAGTTTGCAAAGGAATCTGGGGAGGATAATGGAATGTTTTCAGGTGTTTGGCTTCAACACTCGGCAGCGCAAGTCGTTCTACAATGCAGTGTTGCGATGGGGCATGCCTCCTGCTGAGATGGGTCTCCACTCCACTTGGATGGTGAGGGACCTCAGGGGCAAGTCGGAGAAGGAGTTCAAGTTAGTGCTCACATTCTTTTCTATCATTTTCCATTCCATCCACACTGCTATCTAAGTTCTTTCTTAAATTTTAATGAACGAAATGAATTTTCACTTGTCATGGTTTTTTTTTTTTTTACAAGAAAAGTCACGCTCAAATTAGCTTGAATCTTGATTTCTTTTTAATTTCAATTCTATTTCCCAAATGTAAGGCAAATTACGCTTTCCAGTAAAGTGCTAATCAAGCGAAGATCCAGCTTGACTTACAGCATCAATACTGTTTTTTAAGTTTTACTTTTCCCGACAAGACTTTCATCGGTATAAATAAATAAATAAATAATAATAAAAAATAAAAATAATAAAAAATAAATATGAACGACTCTTGATTTTCAAAGAGCTTTAAGATGGGTATTTGTTTCGGTGTACTCGAGCTCTTAGTACTTTTGCAACTATCTTTGGTTCAGTTTAAATTTTGGATAATTTCAAGGGCAATTCAATGCTTCTTTCTATTAGACTGGCTTGTCATTGTGTAAAAATGCATTTTTCTGCATCACCATAACCACAGGGTAAAATTTTCGCAATTTTCAGCTTTGAATATGGCTAACTTAAAATGTTCCAGGGCCTACTCTTCTATGTTTTTGCGTCACTTGTGTGAGCCGGCGGCCGACAACGCCGAGACGTACGCTGATGGGGTGCCTCGCGAAGGTGTGCAGAGACAGCCAGTGTTGACACGAATCGGAGTCATGAGTCTCATTCGGAAGAAAGTGTTCGAGTTTGAGCACGTGAACGGAAGAATCAGCATGCCAGATCTGATGCCAAATCTGGAGGAGTTGACTTACCAAAACCCGCCGTCCGCAGCCAGCAGTGGCCCTCAGACCCCAGGGAAGCAAAGCAAAAGTAACTCGAACAAGTCCTCTAGAGCGTCGACGCCTCTACCGACTGAAAAAATAAACCCGGCGTCTGCATCGGTTTCAGCCGCAGCTTCAAGTGCTAATGTAGACTCGCCCGCTCCTGCTGTTAAATCAGAAGAGTGTGGAAAAAGTGATAAGGAAACTGCTAGTAACGAATCAAGTGATAAAATCGAAGTGGAACAAGTCGAAATTTCGGTCAAAAACGAAGAAGTTTCAAAATCTGGACAGAAAAAGGAAGATGCTGAGAATACCGAAGCAAAAGAAGGTTAGTGAAATGCAAGTTTTGTACTCTGACAACATTTTAAACCGTTTTAAATTACGTCCTGCATTCAGTTAGAAGCATAGATTAGGTTGAGGCAACTTGAAATCCTCTTCTTGATAGACTGCTTCAATTTTTGTACAAGTTATGGTAATTTGTTTGAGACTAAATTAAACTTTTTTGTGTGCATTCACAATAGGAATTTGAGTAGCGTGATTTTAAGATATTTTTATTATCTGCGCAGAATCATCGAATAAAACATTCTTTGACGACACGTGTTCAAATATTGAATATAAAGGACGAGCATACGAGCTGTTCAGTTCATCAGGGAGAAACGCTGCTGCTCCTATGCTTTAAAGCTACAAGCAATTTTTGGATCTTTTTCCTTCCCCCGCCACCTGCAAACTGAAAATTTTGTTCTCATTTTTCGATTGTTATGAAAATTGACATACGGACTAATAAGGCCACGGTAAACATATTTGGTCTTTATACTTAACCTTGTAAAACCCCTCGTTACACCATAAAAATGATGCTTTCATGAGGTGGTGGTGGTGGGGGGGGGGGGGGAGGAAAAAGAGCCCAATCTTTTTTTGGCGATTTTTCTGGGGTGGGCAAAGTTGCCTGACCTTCAAGCAACGAGCGCGGATCATGGTGGGCCTCAAACATTCAACCTTTCGATTGAGAGGCGGAGATGTTACCATTTCACCATGCTCCCTTTTAGGAAAGGAAGAAAATAATGAGCAGAAACAGAAAGAAAAAGAGAGTGAGTTGAAACAAGACGAAGTGCAATCGAAGGAGAAGGAGAAAGAGGAAGTTAGTGAGACTAGTTCTTCAGCGGTTGACTCTTCCGGTGGGGAACCAGTGAAACCGACCGAGACAGCAGCTAAAAATGTGGAAGAGAAGATGGGTGAGTTAAATTTTTCGTTAAACTTGCGGAACCAAGTGTCTTGTAATCAGGAACTAGACTTGCGAAACCAAGTATCTTGTAATCAAGAACTAGACTTGCGAAACCAAGTGTCTTGTAATCAGGAACTAGACTTTTTCGCCGTAAACCACTTTTCTTACAAATTTTTAATTAGCTTTATTTTAGAATCTCTACAACTTCGCGGTTCCTTTTCATGTGTCCTAGTGACAATCATTTGCATTTGCACCCCAAGGTCATGAGTTTTTCAGTATGTATGCAATTGAATATTTTTTCGGTAAAAATTGATTTGTCGGACTTTCGTTTATCTGCTCAAGTTTTGTCGGCTTAGTTGCCATATCACGGATTTTTCTTGTGCTGTAAGCAGTATCATGGTAGTTGCAACTGGTGCTTATTGTAGTTTCAGGAAAAACTCGAAAATTTTGATAGGTTTTTGTAAAATCATGTTTCGACTCAATTGGTATCTGCTCAAAGATCGTCGGCTTTTTCCGCTTAATTACACAAACGAACATTTCTAACATTGCGTGGCACTTTTGGTATATTTCAAATTAATCCTATTTAAGCTTATTTAAGCATAAACAATTTAATGGCTTATGTTGCTGATTTATTTTTTGCTAGTGTTAGGTACTGTTTGAAAAAGAACATGTACCATGAAAAAGTGTGGGATTTGTTGTTTTTCGTTTGAAAATGGTACCAATGAAAAAACTGGTTGCTCTTTTATGTGCCACTTTGCTAATCTCTTTTCATTTTACCTCACTTTCTACGGCCTTCGAAAGTTTCAGTGGGTGGTTTTTTGCCTATTTGTTTTTACCCTTACGATAGCAAGGGTTTTGTTATCGGGTTTTAGGCTTTTTCCCCCGTAAACGACGTTGTGCACAGATTTCAGCATAAATGAAGTACACGACATAAATTCAATATTTGCTTCGTATATTTGCGCTCATTTATTCTATTACTCTCACTGTGCGTCCTTATTCGAGTTCAAATTTTTTACATGATATTTCCGGTATTTTTTGAATTTTCGAATTCGTCGCTTTCGGTTTACTTTTTGTCGGCTTTGTTTCCGCGTTGGTTTTACCATCCAGCTAAATCGTTTATTTGAATTCAAGTTTTCTGTACTATAGTTGCTTTTAGTGTTCTGATTTACCTTTGCGGTTTTTTTTGTAATTTTTTAACCTTGACATCGTATATCCCATATTGTGCCCAAATAATTTCGGCCTATATTTTATCGGCATAGTGACCTAATTTTGAGTTGTTTCAATGAAGCATATTATTTTTATGCTCATGTGTGGATTGAGCAAAATGCTGAACAACTTAATATAAATTATAATTCAAATTTTTCATGACAACAACTTTTTCATCGCCTTGTTTGTTTTCTTTTTTTTTCGGCTTGATAGGTTTCGGCCTATATTTTATCGATTTATTGACCTCATACTGCGTTCCTCGACCAGCAAAAAAATGTGTTTTTTTTTTGTGTGTGTGTGTGTGTGTGTGTGTTTTAAGTGCGAGGGGGGCTTGATAACTTATTAGTGATAACTTAACTTTTTAAATTTTTTTGGCTTCTTAGATTTCGGGGTATATTATATCTGCTTAGTTGCTTCATGTTTTTCCCTTGCGATAAGCAAGGGTATTGCAATCGGGTACTCGGCTTTTTTCCCGTAAACAACTTTGTCCACAGGATGGATCTTCACTTCAAGAAGTGAAGATCCATCCTGTGGAAAACTTCTAGATGGTCTTCATTTCTTGAGATTTTTGAAAATTCAAATAAAAAACCTATCACTTAGCTAGTAATTAATCCAAGACCGTTTCGGGTTGTAATTATAGTTTCTATCGGTTCAATTTCCATTTTTTTAGACGCCATTTTTCATAACTTATTAAAGCATGGGTTGTGTTCCAATTTAAATAGTTTTTACCAGAACTGAAACTTAACAAATTTGTAAATTTACCATGTTCGATATTCAGTTTTTTTTTCAATTTTTTTTATATTCAATTTGTTTCAATTTATGTTGTATCAACTTAGTCAATTTAAACTGCGTCATTTTGAGGGCAAAATATATCCATTTGGGATTGTGTGTTTCAGTTTGGATGAGTCATAAAAACTTAAGTTAAATGAAATTTTTTATGACAAGTTTTCGGCTCAACAGGTTTCAAGGGCTGTTTGTGAACTTCATCTCATATAAATATGAAGTTTTTGTAGCTGTAATTTTTCAAAGTTTACCAAATTATTTTTTCAAGTTTTTTCCAACATAATTTTTCGGACTTTTTTTCACTGTTGTTTTCTTTTCATTGTCTATTTTGTAGCGCAATATGTTTTTTGCATCGCATCTGTGTTTCAATTTACGAGCAGTTTATGTGTTTTGAGGGCGACGGGAAGTCTTTGTTGATTGTTTTCGGCTTAAAAGGTTTCTGCCAAGGTGTTTATCCCCAAATGTTTCTATTGGATATGCAGATTGGCTGGTTGCAAGATTTAATAAACTTTTGTTTAAGACACTCTATCTTTTGATTTTTGGAGCTTTGTTGTGTATTGCAAGTGGACTACGCTCAGCTTCGCCTCTGTGTAATTTTTTTTTCTTTTTTCAAATATTACATGCACAAATCTGAGATAAAGGTTTCAACCCAATAAACAAGTTATGGGGATCTCCCCTTTTCAAGCGGTTATTCCCTAAACTTTTGCCTTCTTTGTCGTTTTTGCTTGTTTACAAAGTGCAGCTTCATTTATGACATATCTTCACTTCAAGTACTTTGCTTCTTTACATAATCAAACGCTTGCGTTATTATACGAGATCTTTTTCCACAAATTGAATGTTTTTGCATTTTTTGTTTATATTTCAAGTTTTTTGATGTGAATATGATCCAGTGCTAAATTGCCATCGATTCTGCTGAGTTTACTACAGAATATTGTCAATGTTCCAACTTATGAAGAAAATATTGAAATGACGGACTATTTTTCTTGGTCTGTCCTTACGATAAATTTGACTGTTTAACCCACAGGTTTTGACGGGAGCATGTCGATGCACTGAGCTCAACTTAATTTTTTTTTCACCTGCAATCTTTTTTGTGAAGTTATGGGGATTCGAAAATAGCCAATCTGGAATTTTAGGAGTCGATGAACGTTGCTCAGACTCTTATATAGGTCGCTGTGATTATTATTATTTTTTTGTTCAGGAAAAGTTTCAAAATTTGTTGATGCTCAAATTTTCTCTTTCGCGGTTTGACTTATGATTTTTTAACTTCAGTTCTGTTCCTAACCTAAAAGACAGACAAACTCCACTGTCGAGCACCAGAAGTGTAAAGGTCACAAAAACGTGATCGTTTTCTAGTTTCGAAAGTAGTATTTAATTTTCAGATTTTCCAGCGAAGTAAAAGTTTTACCTAATTTCTCAAATTGAGTTAGTTCTATCAAAAAATTGCCAATCATTAGTTATTTTTGACATCCAAATAGCTTTGAGGCCATCTGTTTTTTTTTTTTGAAATCCGGAAGCTGAATTTTTTTTCAAAAAACAAGTCTATTTTTTTCTGTTTCTTTGCGTTTATTGACTCTTTTGCAACTGTCTATTGGCTATGTTTTCTAAAAACTGCAGAAACGCAGGCTAATAGTTTCTTGAGGGTGCAATGTATCTTCAAGTTTGGGTCTCAATTAACACAATCTAAGCAATGTTATTCAGAAGAGTCCAAAAAGCCAGAAGAAGCCAAGCCAGCAGGCAAGCGTCGCTTCATGTTCAACATAGCAGACGGCGGCTTCACAGAACTGCACACTTTGTGGATCAATGAAGAGCGCGCAATCAAAGCAAATCCACAGAAGGAGGCAGAGATCTGGCATCGAAGGCACGACTATTGGCTATTGTGTGGTATTGAGCAGTATGGATATGGGAGGTACCAGGACATCCAGCAGGACATACAGTACTACATTATCAATGAGCCATTCAAGGCAGATGCAGGAAAAGCCAACTTTATGGACATCAAGAATAGATTCATTTCGAAGAGATTCAAGGTTATTAAATAGTTGTCAGCTGGTTATAAGATCAAATGTATGAAAGTATAGAACAGCAATGGGGAGCTTCCTAGTTTTTTAAACCAGTTAAACTATCAGATGTTACCGAATTAAGCATCGATTTTCGACCTTAACATTGCTAATGAATTGAATATCGTGATTTTATGAATAATTTGGTGATTCAATTTCAGCTTCTGGAGCAAGCTCTTGTAATTGAAGAGCAGCTGAGACGTGCGGCGTATTTGCAACTGACACGCGAAGAGAACCAGGCTCATAATTCTATTCAGGCACTGAATGCACGCTTCTCAGAACTAGAATCCCTTGCGGACAGTCACCAGCATTTAAGCAAAGAGTCTCTGTCTGGAAACAAGTCAGCCAATGCTGTGCTTCACAAAGTGCTGCTTCAGTTGGACGAGCTCCTAAGCGACATGCGACAAGATGCAATGAAGCTGCCACAGACTCTGAGTAAAATAACTCCAGTAACTCAAAGGTTGCAGTTATCCGAGAGATCAATTCTGTCTCGCCTGTTGCAGTATAAGCCATCCACTTCAGCACAAGCCAGCGATGCTGGGAACTCAAGTGTCGAGGTTCTCTCTGCAGATATCCAAGAAATCAAACCGCAGAAAATCGAACCTCCAAAGAGTGAAGACTATTTGAACAGCGAGGGCTATGAAGGGCCCTTCTTTGCACCAATCGGAGCAGTCCCTTACAAACCCACACCAGGTGCTTCGGGCAGCACCTCTAATATTCCAAGTGTAACCTCTGGGGTTCCATCTGTCACCAAACCGAATCAGTCTTAGACGCAGTCTTGCCAGTTGAACAATTTCCATCTCGATTTCAAAGCACTCCAGATAATTGCTGCATTTGGAGCGGTTAACTCAAGGTCGGGAAGCTCCTTTTAGAGACTTTATTGCAAATGCAATCAGCAGTTTAAACTATGTTGTTCAGAAACATGTTTTCTTTGTACGTTTTGATGTAATTCATGCAGTTGATAGTGACGATGATGATTGTGAATTGAGGAACCGTGATGATAAGCCGAACCGATGCGGCAATTAGTTTTTATGCAGCTATTATTTGTTCTGTAATTTTTAGCCAATTATGTAAAAGTTCCACTTTTACTATCCCCCATTTGTTCTTTGCTTAGCTCGATTTAACATCTAAGTGGAACCTCTCTGTATTGTAGTGATTTGTTTTGTCTGTCGTTTAAGTTAGCTATGAATGTGATTTTATATTATATCAAATTTAAATAGATGTTTTCCCAATAGTTTTTTTTGTCAGAACGGATTGTTTAAAAACAAACATCAATTAGTGAAGAGAAGAGCCATTTGGTGAAAGAAAAAACAGCTTATGTAATAAGTTATAAGTTTCATACCTTTCTTTCTAGCTAGCTTTTCAACCCTGCGATTAGCAAGCGTTATCAGATTGGAATTTAGACGTTTCTTTTTTTTTCGGTTTAACAACTTATTCAACAAAATCACTGAGTCATTTGTGCAGCTATTATTTCAAAATTCAATTCTGCTGCAAGCATGCTCAATTTCTTGGAAATTCAAATTCAAAATTAGTAGACGGCTGAGGGCACAGGCTCGAATCTGGCCAGCACCTGTTTTTTTTTAAAACCAAAGTTTTAAACCTCAAAAAAGTTATTCCCCTGTCGGCTGTATTTTCATGTTTTTTTCGGCCGATTTGTCACATTTTTCACCTTTCATGTGCTGTAAGCTGTTTTATTGTAATTGATAACATTCTTTTATGTAAACGTAAAACTAAAAACTCGTTCTTTATATTATTTCCGTTTTTTTGCGTAAAAGCTTTATTTGGCCTAATTAGTCTCGGCTCATGTTTTCTCGACTAGATGAACTAATTTAAAGTCTCATGAAGCAAAAATTCGATTTTCATCTTCTTGTGAGTTTCCGAAGGTTAAAGATTTTAAAAGGGAGTCATGAAGTTAGTGAATACTTATATAGGTCTTGGTGAATTTTTCTGTTTTTTTTTCGACTTGATTTCTTTTTAGAGTCGAGGAACGTAGTGCAGACTATTATATAGGTCGTTATGGTTTTTTTTTGTCGGAAATGCTCTAATATTTCACAGAATTGCTTTCATGCATAATAATGCATTCATGACTGCTTCTAGTATTGTTCAATTTTTGAGTTAATTTTTATTTCATCTACTAAAAGTTGGTTGGTTGCGCTCTCCAATTACGAGCGTGTAAGGATCAAAAAACAAGATTGACTTATAGTTTCGAAAGTGGAATTAAGTTTTTTTGATTTCCCAGTGGAAGAAAAACTTTACCTATTGATCTAGCTTTCTGAAACTGATCAAAAAAAAGTCGCAAGCATGAAATGTTCTTGAAATTCAAGAGTTTCAAGGACATAATTTTTCTTTACAAATCGAAAGTTGAAGTTATCGCAAAAAATAAGTCAGTTTTTTTTCTGTTTCCATGCGTTCATTTGCAACTCTGTTGGCTACTTATTGTTTTCGTCGCAAAGGGCATTTACCCAAGTGTTTTCGTCTCACTTGCTGCTCGATTAATGTTTGTGAATACTCTTTTCATGTCAGCGGTTGTGTAGTTTTACATTCTCTCACCAAACAGAACATCATTTGAGACCAAAACTTACATCTGAAACCTTTCTAGATGTGATTATTTTGATAATCAACAAATGATAATCAGCAATTTTGACCAATCAACAAAAATGAATAGTGTTTGGATTGGAAAAACTTTGATTGTTTTTCAGAAATGAGTTGCTCGCCGCCTGAAACACCCGCGGAACAGCAGCCGGAGCAGAAAGCTACCGACCAAGAGCATCCAGAACTCAAACTTGAATGGAGAGAACCAGAAGGCACTCTTGAATCGGACAAAGACGAGGTAACTAGTAATGGTGATGGTGAAGGCGACAGTGAAACGGTAAGCTCATTGGAGTTTAAGAATGAATTAAATCAATTCTGGGTCCCGTATTAAGCGTGGTGCGTAATGTTTGGGCAAGTTTTGCTCACCAGAAACAAAAATATATTAGGAGGGAAGAGCTTGATTGACCTATATTTTCAGTGGCAAAGTGGGATCGATTTCCCAGCGAAGTAAAAATAATGCCAATCAATCAAGTTTTCTCGAAAAGCGATTTTGGAAAAATGTTTCAGAAACGATTCTCTGTAAAATCAAAGAACTTCGGTTTTTTATTTAACTTTGTTAAATCGAAAATTTAAAATCCTTTTCGGTTTCTTTATTTTTCCTCTAATTTGCTCTTTTCAAATGTCTGGTGGCGATGTTAATTATATTTGTATCAAAAGTTGTGCGTCGCTAGTTTTTTTTTCAATTGACACTGAACTTAGTGAACACGTTGACGCCGTGTTTTTTTTCCAGAAAAACCTTCACACTCAATTTTGAGTTTTTGCAGTTTGACTTTTCAAGTTCAGTTGTTAAGATTTTTCAAGTTCAATTCAATTTCATTCGCTAAATAGAAGACGATTACGCTATCCAATGAAGACAGTTGAAATACCGCGAAAACATTTGAATGGCTTTTAGTTTCGAAAATGAACTTATATTATTAAACGGAATGAAAAAATTACCTTTTGATCCAGTTTTCTCAAATTGGGTTACTTCTATGAATTTCTTTTTAATAATAATTGTTCAGTAAAACTTCTCCAATTTTTTTGTTAAATTTTCCCCCCTTTAATAACATTTTTAGATTGACACAAATTGAACTCAGTTAGGTTCAACTGAAGATGCACAGTGTCTATCTAGATTCAACGAAATCTTGCATATAACGCATGTCATAAATGAGTTGTCGTGTACTGCGTATCACAAACTGGGTTACTTCGTGCATTCTGTCCTATTTTCCGACTTACGAAAAAAACGGAATATTTTCACTGGGCGTGGTTTTTATTATTCAGTCAATTTTCGAAAAGATAGTTTGTAACAAAAAAATTTATACCTCATTGATGATATCGACTCTCTTGATCAAAATGTTAAAACGTATTTTTACCTCTATTGTTTTTTTGCAAAGTTCTGGGGTTTGAAAATTTGGCCATGCTTTGGATTAGTTTATGCGCGCTTTGAGATTTTATTCATGATCTGAAAGCGTAACACGAATTATTTTTGCGTGGTGAATTATCCCGCACAACAAAATCCTTCCAAATTAAATAGCGGCTAGCTAATTGGTCGTTTTAATTTCTTTCGACTAATTTTTTCACACTTGATCTTCGACATTGTCCAAAGTTTATATTGTTCAATATTTTTTTTTGTACCAAAAACTATTCGAGACCAACTAAAGGGCAGTCGGAACATTCAGGGCTTTGCCCTGATATACGAGCAGTCTTTTACCGTTTAATTTGTATATTTTACCTCTTCCACATGAGCCGTTGATAGATTATCTCTTTGTAGGTTGCTTAGAATCTCAATTAGTGAAGTTTATGCCAGGTCTAGGACAACAAGCCGACGGGACTTCATACCGAAATTTAAAACTTTTACAGGCATTTTTTGAAAAATTTAGGCCCAATTAGTCCACAATCAGCGCTATTCATGACAATGTACCCCTCAAAAGAGCATCCGTAATTAAAAATAAGCCGGATTTTGAAATGAATAAATTTCAAACATGAAAAAACCCTTCAACAATGTTTCAATGTTTAATATTTTCCTAAACATCATTTAGAGGCTCAAAAACTATTTTAAAAAACCAGAAACTGGTAAAGAAAGATCTTGAATTTGAGAAATTCTCCAAAACAGTCTGAGAATTAAGAGAATATTTGACCTGAAGGTCCGTCTGCTTGATGTCCGGCACACGTTTATCCCAATTAAGTGTAAAAGCAGAAAGTGTTTTTTTTGATAAAACTGTTAAATGGCTTCCAAAAAAATGTTGTTTTTTGCTAACACTGCCCTGAAGTCCGATTTTGTGATAATAAAAAAAGCCCATTGATTCAGTTTTCTCTAAACGTGTCAACATGAAGAAAAATGCCAATCATAAACATTTTTTGACATTCAAAGACTTTTACCGTAATTTGTTTTTTGTTCATTTTTGAAAAGTGTTTTTATCAGCGTCTGTTCGGTTTTATTTTTATTTAAGAGTACTGAACGTATTGACTACTCTTATATAGGTATTGGTGAGTTTTGTTCGTTTTTAATCAAGAAAAAAGTCTAAAAATTTGTTCACGCTCAATTTTGATTTTTCGTGGTTTAACTTGCACTGAACTTGAAATCACATTTTCATTGTTAAAAGGAAGGCAAACTCCACAATCAAACAGCAAAAGGGTAAAGGTCACGTAAAACGTGATCGACTGCTAATTTCCAAGATTGCCCAGCAAAGTAAAAGTTTTTTCTATTGATCCAATTCTTTCTAATTGGGTTAATTTCAACAAAAAATTTCCATTTTAATTTGCTCTACAATTTCAATGAGCTGTAAGGCCATCTATTTTTCCGAAATTCAAAAGTTGAAGGTTTTTGAAAAAAAATAAATTATATTTTCCTTGCGCTCATTTCTCTTTTCCAACTGTCAGTTGGCTATGTTAAAATTTTCCAAGTATCTTTTGGCTATGTTGAGAATCTTTAACGCTAACCTCTTGATGGATTATTGAACCAAGTGACAAATCCCTCTCTTGCAATGTAGGGAATAGTTGGAAAGATCATAAATTTTTGTGTTTTTTATACAGGGCAGCAGCGTAGGTGGCGATAGTGACTCATCCGACGATGATGACGATTGCGAAGACTACAGCTATAGCAGCAGTGAGTCGTGTTGCTGTGGTACGGACGAGGTTTGCGACAAATGTCGTGACTCCGATTCTTTCGGCAGTAACAGTTCGGTTTTGTCTTTCAGCTGGGATGACTGCTATAGCACAAGTAATGGTCTGTACAAGAAAAATGATACCGACTCGCCTTTTGTTCTTGCGGCTAAATTTGGCGATTTGAAACTAGTGCAGTCCTTATACGAACAAAGTGAAGATAGCGAAAAGCAGTGGGTTTTGAACCAAGCTAGAAAATGGACCGAAGTGCAAGAGAAATATGGATACGATAAACAGTGGGATTGGTTCGGAGACACTGCGCTTATTTCTGCTTCCAGGAACTGCCATCTTGATGTAGTGAAGTATTTGTTGTTGCAAGGAGCGGATCCGAATCTTGAGTCATGTCCTTACGACGACCAGTACGAAAGTGCCGAGAAAGCTGCAAAGAGTCAATTGAACAGGCTCAAAATTGGCGAAGTTTCGGACTGGAAAGTGAAAAAATGTGAACAAATCATTGCATTATTAAAAGAAGTGTCTAAAATATGGCCCAAATCTGATTTTTCGAGTGCCCATTTCGATAAAGAAAGAGCGAAAGAATTCAAGTTGAAACCAAAGTTGGCTGATGATTTTATGAAGCAAATTAAAGAAGCCGTTGAGAAGGTGGACCTATCTGATTAACTTCCCTGAGCAGATATCAAACAGTGACTTGAGTTTGAATTGAACTTGATATTGATTTTTATCTTGATATCTGAATGTTTCGTCAATTTTATTTATGGACTGATTGAGTTTTGATTATTGATCGATTGTTTGAACTGAGAGGTTTATGTGACTACGCTCAGATTTGATGAAATACTGTAAAAGTGGAGGCAAATAATGATCATGATTAGAAAATTTGAAGATAGATAAATGGAATTGAATGATTTTAACTAACTATGTTGTAGCGGAGGGCGAAAAATGTTTAGTTCTTACCTCAGGCTCTAATTGACATGCAATGCACCTGGGGCGTATGGATGAATAGTTTTAAGTTAAGGCTCGTAGTGGCAACTGATTATTTTCATTACCTTTTAAACGATAGAGCTCTTGATTATTTTTGCTGTTCCGATTCGGATGTGTTTTAGTTTGTGTTGGAAGAATCAGTGAAGCTGAAGTTGAAAAAATAATATTAACTGGTGTCCAAAGACATTGGAATTTTGTTAGAAGCTAGCTTTTAGTTCCTATAAAAAACGAAAATGTGAAAAAAAGTCGATATTTGTGCTACTTTCTGTCATCTAAAATCCGATAACCGTTATTAGTTTCCGATAACCGTCATCTAAAATCTTGTCTGATGATACCAATTGGCAGGAACCTTAGGAGCTCTTGTTGTATGCGACTTGGAATGTCATGAATGAAAAAAATGTCAAAAACATTTTGAAGGTTTTCATAGTTGCTGCGTTTCAGAGCTTTAAACATAATCAAGTCGAAATATGGAATCATATAATCAAATGTTGCGCTGCAACAACTGTACTAAAAAGCTCTGCTCTAGTGAGAAATTCTCATTTGCTGTAACACCTTGTAAGCATTTCTTCTGCAGTTCATGTATTGCAAAATTGATCGACTCAAAGAGCAGAGAACTGATTGCTTGCACAGTATGTCGCAGTAGAAAAAAATATCGTTTGATCTCAAGAGAAAACATCAACAAAGCTCCGTTCACGTTGGCACCACCTGATATGGGCAAGAATCCGGCTGAAGTTGAATTTCGAAAACTTATTAGATTTGAAAATGCGCTTCAAGACGGAAATACATTTGCACTTAAGATGCTAGGAAGGAATTTGAAAAAAGCCGAACTAAGCTTACTCAGTGCGGAAAAACAGCTTCAGAAAGAAATAGATTCGAAGAAGGAGCTTATAAAAGAAAACAATAGCTTGCGAGAAAAGCGTTAGTATATAATAAAATTGAGCCAAAATTGGAACGAAAAATAAAAATAATTTTTGTCTCGAGCAGAAGTCTCAAAAGGTTCTTAGGTTGAGGTAAACCTTTTCCTTGCTTTTCCAGTTTGGTATACTCAGGCTGAAACTATTTGAAATTTTTGAAGCTTTCAAGCAACGTAAAAAGCATTTTGAGTTCGAAAAACATAAAAAGATGGGTTCGAAATTTTAAAAGGACAATAACTTAAGTTACATTCCATTAGCAGATCATCGATCAATTCCTGATGGTCCAAATATTAGCTAATCAGTTTTTAATGTTTTTTTTCTTCAATTTTCACAGATCATTTTTGCCGTTTTTGCTTGTGTTAGCCAAGTGCAGCTTATCAGCTGTAAAAAGCTCGATTCCACCCGTTTTTTTTCGCTTGTGTAGTGGTGTATATCATGGGCAGCTTTTTCTACTGAAAAAACTGTTCGCTATAAATTATATCGAGTACGAGATGCGTCAACTTAGCTGATTTTTTTTCGGGAAATGAAGGTGGACTATCTGTCAGCTTTTTTACAGCCATCGTATCTTTGTAAAACAATTGCTTAATTTAATAAAAAGAATTTTTTTCGAAAGAACATGGTTTTAATAATTTCGTTTTCGAATCGAGTACATTTGAGAACGTCTGTATTAAGATGCGGTGAAAGTATTAAAGACTTCTACATGAGTCGTGATTATTTTTTCAGGAAAAGGTTTAAAATTTGTTCGAGCGCAAAATTGATTTTTTTAGCGATTTGACTTCCAATTCCTTTCTAAGTTAGGTTCACTTTTTCTTAGAAGGAGGGCAAACTCCACTATCGAACAGCATTAGTTTAAAGGTCACAGAAAACGCTATGTACTTCTAATTTTGGAAGTGAGTGTTTTCAGGTTGCCCAGCGGAATAAAATTTTCCCTTTTGATTTAGTTTTTTCCAATTGAATTAATTTTACCAAAATTTTTCTATCATAAATTGTTCTTGAAACTCCAAGATGCATATATTTTTTCAGAAAATTGGAATACCCGAATCTAAGTTTTGCTTGTATCCAAGTGAACCCTAAAAGTACACAAAACCCTCTTACGTTTGATTTGAAAAAAAAAAACAATATAAACAAGTAAAAAAACTACCATACCTGGTTAAGTTTTAGTTCAATTATCCGGATCATATGTTTCAACAAACTTAACTTCATTTTCAACAAGTCTGTTTCCTGATTTTGAGTTTCAACAATTGTAACATGTCAACAAAAACTTCTCATTTTTATCAAACTGCAAATAAAGCGCCTTTATAAGTTAAACGGCGTCAAAATAATTGTAGTTTTTTCAATGCAAGCTCTGGAAAATTAGCAGAGCAGTAAATTTGGTGGATTTAAACAAATTCGGTTTGATTCTAGCCATCTTTCTTGTTTAAAGACTTGCATGGAAAAAAATATAATTTCTGAATTCTGCCCACCTGGTTAATCCTCGTTTTGATAAATTTAAACTACAACCAGTTAAATTAAGTGCAGCCGTTAATTGCAGCCGACTTTTTGCTATAGTTCGATATTTTTGGTTTTCAAAATTCCTGAATGTGTTTGAAACTTTTTTGGTAATTTGTTAAACTGATTTTACTCTCAATTTTTTGAGTTTATGCCTCTTTGTTAATAAAATATTGAAATTAGATCATGAACATAGTTTGCGTACGAGTTACTCATTTTAATTACGTCTGCAGATACGAATTTTTTTCTTTAACTTTTTTTCGTACTTTACGATCGTTTTAAGCTATAAATCTATTTCTTTGTCAACAAACTGCTTGTTAGCTAGTTTTAAATTCTTTGAAATCACTTGAATCTTCATCATTCATTTTTTTCTTCTTTTTCTTTTGTTAATTCAATTAGAACTATTTCAGATTTTACTTTGTCTGTCGAATACAAAAAGCCGATGTACCAAATTTTTCATCTTATTTTCCGGATCGAATTTTTCTTTGATTTGTCTAAAAAGAGCAGGATTTTTTTGAAAAGAATCCTTGTTTTTAAACTAAATTCTGATAAGAAAATTGGTAAATCGAGGTTAGGTTAGTCAGAAAAATTTTCTGGATGGTAGTGACTAGACAATTACGCTAGCTACAATAGTTATTGTTGACAATAGTAGTAGCAATATAATGCATTAACTTGCAGAGTTTTGCTACGAAAATGTGTATACTCAAAACTTGTAGAATCAACATTAATAGATTGTGCGGTGAAGTGATTTCAGGTATATCTAAAAAAATTTTACTCAGATCAGACGAAAAATAGATCAGGTTCATCAGGTTGAATAGTTTAAATGAATTTGCTATCCAGTTTAGAAGCCTTTGTTGTGTACAGGGATATTTCTCGTGCTATTGACGCGTACGGGGATAGATAGCATGCGAGCAGAATTTGTTTGATAATTGTCGATAGGCAAGCTTTTTGGACTTAAAGTAGGTTTTTATAGACTATTCACATCAATTTGTATTTAACATTGAGCGTGGAAGTGATTTTCAATAAACTGTAATAAGAATGACTTTTTTGGAGAATTCATCTTATTAATTTCTGAGGTTTCTTTTGTAGACCTCAGGTGGCAGTCGAAATATGCAAAGCTCTGCCCTGATACTAGAAGTCATTTCACTTTTTTCTAGTTTTAGCTTAAGTTTCCATCATAGGCTACGCTGGCTAAATGACATACATCATTGCTGTTGTTCGTTCACCCTTTTCTGGCACTTTCCATGTGTGTGATCTTGTTAATTCTTCTTTGAATATGGGCGGTACAAGTTGAAACTTATTCTCTCGTACTTCTTTTTTTGTTGTCTTGTCTGCTTTTAACGCATATCACTACTCCAAGATGAGCTACAATAAAACTTTGTGTGTTATTGTCTGCACCCATGATAAAAGTTTTATTCGGGGTGTAGGAAATTAGACGACAAACAAATTAGACGATTAGAAAATAACGGAATTTAGACAATAACTTATGTGAAATTTGTTTACAGACTTAAATAATCTTTTGGCTGAGTAAATACTCGTTGTCCAATTTAGACAATAACTTGCGAGGAAATTGCGTGAAATTTGTTTACAGACTTAAATTGGGGCCTAGGAAATTAATTGATAAGCAAATTAGACGGATGCTACAAAAACGAAATTAGACGAAATTTATTTTGTACGGTGTACTACAATTCAATGACATACAATTTAACACCGTACATTTTAACACTTAGTCATTTCACTACTAAACAATTTTAAATCGACAACAATATAACTCCTATTTTCCAGTTCAATACAGTACATTTTAACACCTAGTCAGTTCACTATTAAAATTAATGCTGTATGAATTCCTTATCTTAACCCTTATCACACCAAAGTTAATCCTGCAATTAACGCATGCACCATAATGAAAAGCTTGGTTTATCTTAGTTATACATGCTAAAAGAAGGCTTTCTAATTTACTTAAGACTCTCGTCAACAAGTTTGTAATTTGTTTTCAATTAGACTTTTCGCTAAACCATTATGATTACTTAAAAAAGCTGCTTGTGCTAATTCATAACAATTTGACGTAAGAATTCTGACAAAAATTAAATTCAGACAGTCACTTTATACTTTACTCAAGTGATAAACAAACGCAAACACAATAAAATATTATGATTGAGTCTTCTTTCGAGTTCACAGTTTCATCTTAAAACAAGCCAATTCTTATAGCGTCCGGCCACGAATTGTATTTCAAGCGAAAAAATAAGTTTACAGAAAACTGGATTTGCTCAAAATATCAAACACATAAATGTCGAGCAACTGCTATTACTGAAAATAACGAATTAATCTAGACGCGTGGAGAGCATAACCACGACATTTCAGCGGGGAAATTGGAGGCCCGAAATGTCATAAAGCATATAAAAGATCTCTAGATGTAAATATGCCGCCCATCCCCGTTGCGCGAAATTTCAAGATCCCTGAAATTTTTAAAAATTTTATCCGGTATGACAGTGGATCAAATGATCATGAGCGAATCATTTTGTGCGGCGACCCCGAAATGCTGAGAGTTCTGGAGAAGTCATCCTTCTGGTTAGCCGCAGGAACTTTTAAAATTACTCCAAAAATGTTTTATCAGCTATATTCAATTCATGTTAGTGTATCTGGCATTGCGCCAGCTTGCATTTACGCCTTCCTTCCTAACAAAATCGAAACAACCTACAACCGCTTCTTGCAGGCGTTAATTGATTTAGCACCCAACTGCCGGCCTGAAAAAAGTTTGTTAGATTTTGAGCAAGCTGCTCTTCAGTCATTTCAAAAAACATTCCCCGAAGCACATTTATCGGGTTGTTTTTTCCATCTCTCCCAGAGTTACATGAGAAAAATTAATGAATTGGGTCTGAAAGTGACATACCAAACGAATCACGATTTAGCGCTGGCTTTAAAAAATGCTGCCATCCCTTGCATTCGAAAAAAAAGAAAAGATCGGCGATTTCTATGACATGATCGTTCAGGAAATTCAGAATGTATGCGACAGAATTTGTTTAGAACCCGAGAAAATTGAGAAAGTTGACGAGTTGTGTCTGTACTTCGGCTCTACTGATATAAAAAGCTTGGTGCATTTCGGGATTCAATCATATTTCATCGGAGCCCACCCAAATATGTGGAAAGTAGTGGGCAGCCTGCAAAAAGACGCTTCGATGCAAACTTTTTTGATGCATCGAGTGGCCATAAGTTCACAAAAAAGAAAAAGTATCGAGTATTAAATGAAAGAGTACAAAACATAATGTCCGTTTACGAAGACAAAACTGATCTGTACTTTTTCAGAGCGTTATCTAGTTTGTGTTAAACCATTGTAAATTTTGTTTCATTTTTCTTTTTTCTTTCGTGTCATTAAATTCAAATTTTAATCCTTCTGAACTTTTTGTCAGCTTTTTTTGAAAAGAAGTTTCCTTGCAGACTCCCGGAAACGTAACTAAACGCAGGAACATGACTCGTGCCTTAGCAACTTAATCCATTTTTCTCGATTTTCTAGAGAGACAACTTTTCTCGATTTCATAGAGAGACCATTCCTTTATAGGCTATCAATTTTTGAGGAATGTTCTCCATCTTTTTCAGTTTTTGTAGGGCATATTGAAGCATGCCGGACAATTTCTCCACTGATTTATCATGACAATCGTGCACGTCCAATTTATGAACTAACGCACAAAAAATCCTCGATATTTCTAACCATTGTTTGTGCTTTCTGACAGCACCATTGACATTCAAGGTACTCTGCTTCACCAATTTACCAATACTTTTACACAAAAAGCAATTTTCTTCTGCCATTTGATTCATCCCGCTTATACTCGTTCAAAATTTCTTCTTTCTCCTCCTCTTCCTTTGAAAATCATAATCATCCGCCGGAAACTGAAATCCACAAATAATAGGGGCTACCAATCCGGCCTCGAACATTTTAGGTAAAGCTATTCATTCAGGCACCCATTTAAAAGGTTTATCACAACAATTAAGCTACCACAATAATTAAAACTAATTTAACTTTCGCAATGGTTATGGATTTTATTTTTCTCTATCGCAAAAGATTTCAAGGCTTTGTTTCGCCTTTGTGCCTTATTTTGTTACTGTCGCATTCCATAATTACTTTTAAAAAAGAAATTGCGCTCTGTTTGGCTAATAGAACTTTTTTTTGCTCGTAGACCACTATCATCATAAATTGCAGACTTAACAATTTTTCTTATCAGAAGTTTATTTTTTCAGTGCAGGCAAGGGATTCAGAGTTTAAAGATCTGTGCAAGAGGTACCAACATGCAGTGGCGGAACAGTGCAAGCGACAGAATGCTCCGACTTCATCTCGACATTCAGTCCACATGTGCGTTAAGGATCAGTTACTTTATTTTTGGGAGTCGACGAGGGATTTGACCAATCCTCTGGACAACCTTCTGCACTTCATTTAACGAAGTTTTTATTTCAAGCTTTTCTGTGACTCAGTCAAAAAATTGTCTTCTAATTTTTGAAAGAAAGAGTTGACTGGAACGAGGTACTGAAATTCTCAAAATGCTAAAACTGATACAAAATTCGCTTATATACTTTATAACGCTTTCAGCAAATTTTAATAAAAGTTTCGACTTATGCAATACATCTAAGTCGTAGACGAACTTAGAAAGGAATCATTTTATAATCGCTTTCTGTTTTTTTTGGAACGTTGAACAGAGCTGAGAACTTGTTAATTTTATTAGGAAACAGAATCACAACCACGAGAATCAGACGTTCAATTCAGTGTACACTTCCAAAGTGTCGTTCGATCGAACCCAGTCGCCATCTTTTTGCTCAGGCACTTCATCTGTGTGTGCGAACGGAAATCCAAACCACGTCACTCGCGGCAACCCTAAACTGAGACGCCTCGAAAAGCTGTTCAACAGTCCTTAGCCTCCCCCTCTCTCAGCTCCCGAACAGACCCGCTTGAACCCTTCAAATGACCAGCACAGGAGTAGAATCAATTGGATCCCACAGAAACTCAAAAGTGCCTTCAGTATAATGCATACCTCCCGGAACTCAACCTCTGTCAAAGTTCGCATCAGATACGTGATCGTTTCTACAGAACCGATCAGGATGAAAGTCTGAGCTTATACTAAGTGAACGTCCCTAACTGCATGTTAATAATTATCTTCAAAAAATTTGGGCTCAAACTGAATGTTGGCGGAAAATGTGAAATTTGTTACAGATTCAGTTCTTTATTTTTGGTTGAGCAAAATAACTAATAGAGACACAACATGTCAGTGAATGTTATTTGACAGACGATAAATTACCAAACTGATTTTTTTTTGAGAACTGACAGTGAAATAGATTATGTTTGATGAAGGTTAGCCAGCAACGTTTTCGACTTACAAAAGAAAAGAATAGCCGGTTGCCCTGCAACTAGCACAGTAGGTTCCCACAAAAGTGGAAAAACAATTCATTGCTGTTTTTTCGGTAACCCCCATTTACCTCACAAGCTCATTGCCAAAATCGGGAAGAGAAAAAAACATTATTTCCTTGTCTTCTCTTCGTGACTTCTCTTCGTCTCTTCGCCAACTCTGTCACTTAATTTTAGCAACAGTCTCGCTCTGGATTAAATTGTATCGAAGTATTTAATATATTTGAAATCAGGATGCCTCAATCAGTGTACTCATTAATTTCTATGCCGTTAAGCGCAACAGAGACGAATGATGTGTTGCCAGCTTCCGGTCGAAACTTTCGAAACACGCCGAAACTAAAACAACACACCCCAATTTTATTTCAATGGTAGAGTTTTAGAAGAATGATTTGTATTTATTGAATTAGCTTCAAAGGCAAAAGTAGTTGAACTAACATAAAAAGTAATCCTAATCTGCGCAATTTTTTTAGCCGCACAAATGTTCCGTTTATTGGCGATCTGAATTTGTTAATCATAATAAAAACGGTACATAAAAACCGCTGCAGCAATGACCAGGTTTGTAAAGCGCATATTTACACCAGTAGAGCGAAAGCTGCCACGAATATTGAGATACTAAGAAATTTCTTGGAATTGAGTTACATATTCGATCAAAACTATTGACCCCCTGCAGTCTGTATTCACCAATTGTCTAAATAAACCCATTTTGAAAACAAAGTATACAAAATTAAATTTTTCAGGTTTGTTTTGTCAGGATTTTAGTGAACCAACGCTTATATTATAATACAAACTTTATAATATATATTATATTATACCTGTTTTTTTTTTAAAGACTAACACATTCTGTTGCTTTTTGTGTTGCGTTTTTTTGTGGCAAATTTCTGTAGAACCTAGTTTCTGATTTTCGCTTTTAAATAGCATGCATTGTGTCCGACTAGTTATGCACCGTCAATGCTGCCTTTTTTGCGGTACAGGTACAGTCAAGTCTTGTGGTGAAGTGGTTAGTAAATGTGACTCTTATGCACCTGGTTCGATTCATGTCTTAGATTGTATAGCCTTTTCACTGCTAATTTGAGTATTTCAGTTTTATTTTGTTAATCACGTACGCACCTATCTGTATTTACATTTGCGATAAGATTTTTTTCCCGTTAAATTTGCAATAAGACTTTTTCCGGGTACAAGACTTTTTTTCCGGTAAATAACTTCACAGGAAAAAATCACTGACTTCGCAATGAATTCAAGTTTCTTAGCGTCTCCTGCACATTTAGTCTAGAAGTAAGGAATACGTCTGGGATGGAAAAATCCTGGGTTCGAATCTGAATAGACCTGTTGTTTTTCAATAGGAAATTTTTTGCTTCGAATGAAATTGTCTCCCTCATATTTTTCTGCTTGTTTTGTTGGCTTAGTTGCCACATCTTATAATCAATTTTTTTGTTGCTGTAAACATATTTCATTGAAGTTGCTTTTAATGCTTAAGCATTTTAACAATACAGACGAATCAAAATTTGATTTTCACTTTGGTAGTAATTTCACCAACCCGAATTGTTAAATTTTTGCTTTTTTAATTTCGTTTTTTTTTTCTATCGATTTAATGGCCTCCTTTGCGTCGTTAAAAGACCGAAACATTTTTTTTGTGTGTTCAAATGTTCTGAAGGAAAAGTGAAGTTTTATAAGTTTTTTTTTCGTGTTGTAGGGTTTCTGCTCACGTATTTTCGGCTTCGTTACCGCATGGCAATTATAACTTCAAATTCAATCAACCATCCGGTGCATCTGGCGTAGAGGTAACGAAATTGTTTGAGACAGCAGAGACTGATGGTTTCAATCCGGACGGGACCTATTTTTTTGTTAACTAAAGTCCTTGTGGTTGTTCTGACTATCGTCCGTCTGTTTATTGTTGTCGGCTTAGTTACCGTAGCACAATTTTTTTCTGAAGATTCAGCTTTTTTCAAGGTTGCAATAACACCCATGTTTGAGACCAAACAGTTCGGTTGTTCGATTCCAGTCGAGCCCTGTGTTTTTTTGCAAACTCGAAATCTTCGCTAATTTAGATTATTATCTGTCTGGTGACTTTCGTCGGTTTAAGTCCGCCGAAAAATTATTTTTTCAAATATTCGGCTTCTTTCTATCGTTCCAAAAACAACGTGTTTAGATTGCAATGGTTCAGGTATTTTGTTATTGGATATTTTGGGCTTCTGCATTTTTTAATGAAAAAAGATATTATTTAAAAAAATTTGTTTTTTATCGATTGATTCCCCGTGTTTTTTATCGATTGATTTTAATCATAGTCATTCATTTGTGTATCTCAAGTGGTGCGAAGCTCAGTTTTCGTTTATCATAAATTACAGCCTTTTTGCATGTAGCATAGCAGTGCATATAAATTATAGTGTTAGTTTTTCATAAAATATAGAGCAATTCACGCAGTCATGCATAATATCAAGAAAAACTGATATGATAGTAAATTATTTCAAAGAAGCCAGTAATCTTATTTGGCAAGAGAAGTTTGCTGAGCTTGTGCTTGCAAGCAGTCAAATTTTTCCTTGTCTATAGAAAATTTTTCTATTTTCAGTTTTTGTGTTAAGCTTCAGCATCTGCGAGCAGCTTCTATTCTCTTAGACATTGCTTGTATGTAGCTTATGATTGTACGTGCAAGCGTCAAAGAACTTAATTGTTCTGACTTTAGAAGTGCGAAATATTTACGCTTGGTGTGGTTTTTTTATTCAGCCAATTTTGAATTCTTATACCATCTGAAAAATATTTTAGTCTTGAGCTTAAATTTGAAATTTTATTTCACCTGTGATTAATTTTTTGTAAAATGATGGGGATTTGAAAATTGCTAATTTTGCCAATTTGCGACAATTAACAGGCGATTTTTTGCGTTCTTATAACACGCGTAAGTGGTGGATTAATGCGTTCCAAATTGAGTTGAGGCAAGTCATTTGATCGCATTATTTTGAAACAAGACGTTAAATACTTCCCTTCTTTGTGCACATTAGCGTGTGAGGATATAAAATGAAGAAAAATCGAAAAAAAAATTTGCCCTTTTTTGATTATTTTGTCAATTTTTTAACCAAAAGATTTTGAATTGACCTTAAAAAGCAGTCTTGTTTGTATTTTCCAATTTGATCGAGTTATCTCTCCGTATGGTTTACAAATAAGAGCAAGACTGCTTGTATCAGGGTAAAGCCTTAAGTTTTACGACTGCATTTCAAGTTCCCTGGAGTACTGTTCTCTTCAGGCAATTTTCAAAAAGTTCAAAAATTATTGTTTTTTGTTAATTTTTGAAAATCATCACCCGACACGCTATACGAAGTACAAAATTAATTATTTAGCATGTATTAAAGTTTTAAATATACCAAATATCTTTACTTGAAATGGAGCGATTTCTAGGACGGATCAAATCTCAGCTTGCGCGTTAAAAGCACGAAATACATCGCGCGCTAATAATCCCAAATTGGCATTCTTTCAACTTTTTTAATCTTTTAAAAAAGTATCGCACCTAAAATATCCACAGCACCTTTCAGCTGATATTTTAAAATGTCTGGCCGAAATTGTTTGCAAAAAAGTTGATGTTTGTCTGGAGAAAAAACACATCGAGCACAAATGTTCTGTCACTTTCTTCGAAATTCGGGACAAAAAAGAAGATTTATCTTTCGCGCTAGATGGTTACTTTTCATCTCATATCTTTTATAGAGTTTCATCACGTATTATTTTTGCTTACTATACGTGATGGGTCAAAGCTTTGAAAAAAATTGGAACCAAAATAAGGAAAGAATAAACACAGAAATGGTTGGTCATCAGACACAACCCCGACTTGTAATGACATGAACCGAACATTGATCGCAGCACAAAAACTCAAAAAACTACAAAAATTGTACGTAAATGTACAATTAGGCGTAACTAGACGTGTACGCAATGAATTGCCAGCGTTCTGGATCAAATGCTCTAGAGAATAATCTTATATCTTTCAGTTAACTGTTTGAAATAAAATTAAATTTCTCAAAATTACAATTTGACAATTTGATTTCCTAATTGGCGTTGCATGCAAAGTTCAAAATCATTCGACTTCAAGTTTTTCAAAGCGCGTTGTCACATGGAGTTTGTTAATAAAACTGATAGTTTTCGAAGTTGAGTTGTAGTCATTTCTATAAATTTTTATCATGAGATTTTTTTTTGATAGTATTTTTTATCTTAACGGTTCCTGTTAGTATTCCCCTTCTGTTCATAAAAATCATTTTTACGTAAGCGTTTTAATGCTCCGTGCACGAATATTCATGTTCTTGGTGATTTTTTTCTTCAGACTAATTTCGACCTTTAAGCTAGTATTTTTTTTGACGGGAATTTCTTAAATCCAAAAGAGACAATATTAACCACAAGATCTGAATTATATATTTTTTAAATTTTAAATATTTAGAAATTTCTAGATGGTGATTTTTAGTTTCAAAACTACTGGCTTTCTGACAAAACAAAAGTAATTTAGATTGCTGCACCGATCACAGAAAATTTTAGAAAAAAGTAGCTTGAACATTTAAAGTAAAAGAAAAAGAACTTAAGAACGTGTTATTATTAACTGCTGCGAGGCTTTTGGTACTTTTTTGAGATATGCATTTCTTGCCGACCGGCATCGATATTTTTACTATTTTTGATGGGGGAATGCGAGCCGAAAAAAGCAGTTTTTGATCAAAACTTTCCAAAAAATGCCTAAAATTGCCTTTTTGGCAGTGTTTTGAAAAGTTCGCCTGGCGCAGAAAGTTTGGTCATAATAGGGTCCTTATAATAATTTTTTGAAAACAAATACCTCCTCCCCCGCGACGAGAAAATCTTTTATCCGACCCTGCTGAGCCTAAATTTACTTGTTTATTTTTACTTTTGACCAATTTTAGCACTATTTCAAGAGTTTGAAGTTTGCTAATTCGGCCAAAATTAGGGCTGAATATATTTTTTGATTTTTCTTTCGTTTTCTCAAAAACTGCCCCTCAAATATGAGTTTTTGGTTTCAATGAACTGAACTGTTTTGAAAAGCTACCCTGCATAAGTGGCTACGACCAATATTTTTTTTGCACATAAACTTATGGCCCTCGGTGATTTTTGCTCGTTTTATTGAATCTTTTCGAATTTTCTCGAAAAATACCTCTCAAATCCGATATTGTGGGCCCAAGGAGATAACGGGTATAAGAAAGCTCCAGAGCATTATCGGACACTAACAAAAAGTTTTATACACGAAGTTATCACCCTCTGGAAAAATCAAATTTTTGATTTTCTGAACGTTTTTTTTTTAAATTTTTGAATATTCTCAGAAACTACTCTGCTATAGCTGAGATTTTGGGTTCAATTCTGAAAACGGGTTACGAAAAGCTCTTTTGCTCTTGCGAATACGCCCAATTTTTTTGACTTCCAAATGTTTTGGCCCTCGGAAAAGTACAAATTTAGATTTTGTGACAGTTTTTTTTCGAAGGTTTTGACTTTTCTCGAAAATTGCCCTCCCAAATCTGAATGTTTGGGTTCAATCGAACTTTTAGGTTGCGTGAGTTTCCTCTGCATAAACTGCTACGCCCTATTTTTTCACACAAAATGCTATGAGTCTCGGAAATGTTGAATTTTTCATTTTTTGACCGTTTTTTGGACTTTTCTCGCTAACTATCCTGCCAAAAGTGATATCATAGTCTTAGTCAAAACAGCAGTTGTTAAACTACCTGTATAATTGACTGAGCCCAGTAGCTTCTAGAAAAAACGATATGGTCTTCAAACATGTCAAGGTTTTGAATCGTTGACAATTTTTTGGAAACTGATTGACTTTACGCCAAAACTGCCGGTCCAATTCTCAGGTTGTGATCAATCGAGCAACCCGGCTTTGGAAAGCTTCTCTGCTTCAGCAGCCAAAACCAGCTGTTTGCAGAATCAATTAATGGATTTTAGAAAATCTTTTGAACGTTTTTTAGAACTTTGGACCATTTTTTGGAAACTGTTTGAAGTTCCTTATAATTTACACAAACAAATCAGATGAAAATTTCCATTGAAAGAACAGATTGCGATAATTGTTTCTGCAGAAGCCTCGATTCTTCAATTTTCTTGTAAGAGAAGTTTATCTCCTTGGAAAAATTGATAATCCTAAAATTTCTTACTCTTACTTATTTTAGTAGAGAAACAACTAAGGTTTCAGGCAAAGTCCAATGTTTGAAATCACACTTTTCGTGCTGCATGAGTATAGCACATTCATTCAATATCAAACATGTACCTCCAGCTTCAGCTGGGCCCGTAGTTGTTTTTATCGAGACATACGATAATTTGGTTTCAATTTTGGTTCACCTAGTTTTTTTATCATCTAGAATTTTTTTGACTTTTTCAATGTTTATGTTGCATCGTAAGTGGTGCAATGCTCCGCTTTGCCTCTGTGTCTTATTTGTACGTTATGACCTGTCATACGTTATTATATGTTATAACCTTCCTTTTTTTGTAAACTTCATCATTTTTCGAACGAAAATTACTCCATAGATGTTAAGGTCAGTCGGAACTTTCAAGGTGTCACCCTGATACGAACAGTCTCCGTAAGCTAAATATCATCACAATCGGAGAATGTAAACAGAAGTTTTCGTTCAGTACGTTTTAACATGTGCGCGTAAAACGAAAAAAAAAACGACCGAGTTAGATTGTATCGCATCGTTATATGGCCAAATAAAATAACAAAGATTCATTTTTGAAACGTTAATTTGTATTTTTTGCAACTACAGCCAATAAGCATCTGTAAATTTTTGATGCCGAGATGGCTATGCGAATATTCACTCCGAAGTTTCAATGAAGCCCCTTTTTGCAATATTTTATCAACTAACGATAACTGACTATTATTTTAGAATAAGAAAATGCTTAGAAATTTCGGCTGGTCTATAAAACACAATTTAACCTTGAAATAGTGCCAAAAATAATATATTTATCCAAAGTAAACCCTGATTTCTATCTAAGTCATAAACAACAGAGCGGGATGCTTGCGTCCTGTGTTCGTTGAGACTTCCACTATGTTCTTGAGACCCGACTTTGGCGCGACATCTTTCAACGGCAGTGCCATTAAACGTTCTAACTCGTTCATATCATTTTGAGTCATTTGACTGAACGTAGAGTTATAAGTGCTTTCTCCCCACTGATTATCGCCCCTCCAGCTGGTTATGTTTCTGTACAGTTTCGGACGTTCGTCTCTTTCCGCCAAATCAGTGCTCTGTACTTTTCTACCCTGCAGCTCTAATTTGGGTCTCCGAGAACTCTCGAGGAGTTGCATGTCAGAACGTGATGGCAGCGGACCCCCTGCGGCTCCGAAGGTACCCGAAATCTGTTTCTCGGTCTCTTCGTCGAATTTGTTTCCATAACTCAAATTGTAATCATCTTCATCCTTTTTCTTCAGTTTTTCGTCAAAAAGATCAGCCACTGATTCATATCTGCGCAAGCGAAACAATTGTTTGTCTCAAACAAGTAGGAAATGCCGAGTAGGGAAAATGCAATTGTATCATTAAAAAGAAGCTCTGAAGCTCTATATTCAAGTAACATCAAAAAAGCTAAACAGGATTATAGAGTAAATTTCTAAAATTTTGAGGCTACTTCTTTTGCGACACTCGGTCAATAAGTTTTTGAGCTCAAAGTGCTCGTTATGTAGCAGGTTAGTGTTCTTATATCCTTAACGATGTGATTAGTTCCTCATAAGGTTTGCGGATGCTTCCATGAATACCATTGGGATATACCTTATAGATTCCAATTTTGCGACTCAGTCTTAACGCATTGTTTATAACAAAGTAATGACAAATTGGAACAAACCGAATAGCTGGGTCGTTTTCCACCCATCGCACCATATTTCCATCTCTATCGACCATTGCCACAGTATGTCTCTGTGTCAGTCTCCGTCTGGGAGATCTCTGGCTACCCATCACAGTAGGCGAATCATTCAATGCCTTTTCCCCTCTGGATGATGTATGTCCATGTATGTCCAGATTTAGTCCACCAGGGGCCATGAAGTTGTTCGTCTCTGCAAACAATGATATGTTTTTGGAGCTGTATTTAAAGATCCCATTTACTACAAATTTACGCACAAAAGCAGTCAGGATATCCACAGCCATCAATGCTGATATATTCTGGGCGACATTGAAAACGCAACAGCAATTTTTCAATGAGCTAAAAAATGTTTTAATATGATTTAATATGAATGATATGAGATTTTGCAAACACCATGTGCGTGCCGTGATAGATAGCAGCAATATCTGCCAATTTGCCTGAAAATTATATCGTGTTGACCAAAAATGCGAATCATACAATTTTCATTTATCGAAAAATGCTAATCATACACTTTTCATGTAATTCCAAAAGTACAGAAAATTGCATAAAAGATCTATGGTTAGTGATTTTTCATATATGAAAGTTGTATGGTTAGTATTTTCCCATTAACCAAAACAAAATTTTGTTTGAGTTTAAATTCTTAAAAAATTTAGAATGTTTTTGTGACCGAACTCAAGTGACAAAAACCATGGATTACTCAAAACTAGATTCACCAAAGGTTTGATCGTTTTGCATTTACAATGCATTGGAAACGATCTGAAAGGCAATAGAGTTTTCTTACACAAGTCATCTACTGGAAGCATTAAACTTTTAAACTTTGGCAAAACTTTTCAAGATGAATATTTTTAAAATTCGATTTTTTAAATTATCAAAAATTGATCAAGGCATGCATAAACATGGCATGTAAAAAACAGTTTTTAGCGGTTTTGAAAAAATTATGAGACGAAAAGGAAGAAAAATCCAATATTAGTGTATTCAGTATTACGTTATTCACTCAAAAAAGTAAACTTTGCATGCAAAATATATTTTTTTAATTGTTTGTTTGAAAAAAATATTCGATTTGCGGTTAAAAGAAGAACAAAAGAAATTCGGGGCTATTTTAAAACAATTTGGAGAAGTTTTTGTTGTCGTCATCAGAAAAACGATAGTTATTCAGTTTCCATACATGGTTGTATAATTGGCCTTTGTTCTGACAAAACGCTTTTCTTATTTTGAAAATGCTAAAACAAGAAAATTTGATAAAACCATTTTAGCAAAATGTATGCAATTTGTGTGATTAGTACTTTTTCTAGACTTAGTTTATGGAATTGTATGAGTAGCATTTTCGGTCTATGAAGATCAACCCGGGAAACTGGAGAAAAAAAAATTGGTCTAAAATAGTGTAAAAGAATGGCCTCTATTTTACCTAATTCATTTGCCTGAACTAAGGTTAGTACTTTGATTCATTCACAGTTCTGGAAAATCATGGACTTTTTGAGTTCAATAAAAAAAAATTGTTAAATCATTTTGGCTTTTCCGGTTTAAATTCAAGCGAAATTTGCTGTCAAGCTTGCAGGGAAACTCGAATTTCGTAAAGACTCAAATGTAGAACGGTTGCTGGAATGTGATCAAAACTGCTTCAAAGGCGTTATTATTTAAGAGTTTACGGTTTTTTCAACTTTTTGAACTTCGAAAAAAGGTTTAGCAACTCTCATAATGATGCGTTTGTGAGTCGCCAAGTATACTGGAGAAAAAACTAACGCAACTAGAGAAATTGAAGACAAAAATTGAGAGAAAGTTTTTGAAAAGATAAAAATTAATTGGTTGCTACTATTATGTTTTTTGCCCTTTATAAAGATATACCTAGTTTAAAATTAATTTTTTTTTTGCTAGAATTAGACTTACATAGCAGTAATGAATGGCAATTAAGTGCTTGAATTGACAAAATAATAAACGGTTACGTGAAATCTTAAAAAAAATCTAAAAATCAACTAAAACAAGCTCATTTTTTAAAACTCTTTTTGAAAGTTTTTTAAGCATGTTTTGCAAAATTTCTAGCGGATCAACGAAATGTGATTTGAAGAACATCTTTCAAAGAATGAAATGAAAATTTTCAGTACTTATTGTTTTTTTTCAGATTAAAGTGTACGAGTTTTGTTCCTTTAATGTACGGCGTTCACTACACTAGTGGAAAAAATTAAGAGCAAATTTCGGACTAGCTCTCTAAAACGGTTGTTTTCGATATTAATTTTAGACAACCTTTCCATAGAAATTTGTTTGGTTGCGTCACTTTGTTTCTCCAGTATACATGACAGACACAAAGCACTAATTTCCGATTGTAGTTCCCAATTCCTGTATGGTTAAGCAACTTCTTTTCTTTCTACCATATAAGTTTAAGCCTTATCATGATTAATTATTGTGTTGCAGAGTTGAAAGTTGATATATTTGGAAGAATTAGATCTACATAACAGTAATGAATGGCAATTAAGCGCTTGAATTGACAAAATTATAAAAAGTTACGTGAAATTTTGCGCTATTTCAGTGTACCTTTTACCTAATCACCTTGTGCTACTTTAACCTACTTTCCCAATTAACTTGTCACAGTCTACCCTACGCTCTTTATAAAACAAACTGACCCTATGTCTTTGAAGAAAGCCGTAAAAAAACTTCGAATAGATATCAAAACACAATGAACTTCGATCAAAAAAATTGCCGCATGTGAATAAAAACTCGAAGCAATATAAATTAACTCGTTCAAAACTAAAGTCTGATCAAGAACGAGAAAAACGCATCAGTCTAATTTGCAACCACAACGCGTTGCAGGTGTTTCTTGAATTAGCAAAACTCGTATCACGCTAAGTCGGTATAGCTTAGTAATAATGATGAAGGTGCTTTAGAATTAGAAACTGAATGTGCTATAGAATTGAAAACTTAAAATCGAGGAGAAATCAGTTTTTAAAGTCAAATTTTCACTGAAGTTCGAAAATAACTAAAGGTTTGACTATTGAATCATAAAAAACGAGTAGACCCGTACCAGGCCAGGAGGCTACGGGGTCGGGGTGAGGGTAAGAGAATTTTTTTTTTCGAATTTTGTCTTTATCACCTCCCTAATCTCAGACCTGTGGTACATATGAAACCTCGAAAAAAATTTTTTTTTTTTGTTTTTGGAAAATCAATGTAAAATTTCAAAATTTTAGTAGCCCAGGAACAAGTAAATAGAACCATGACTGCCTTGAAATAGGGCAATGAAATCAAAGCTCCATCCCTCTACACCATTTTTTCTTCTTACAATTCTTTCGATTGGCTCCACAATGTTAATGGAAACAATAAATTTCGGTTGGTTCGGTCTACTGCTTCCCCTATGTAGCTTTTCAGAAATAGTAGAAAACGTCGTCCATCTTTCCACTAAAGAACTCATCTAGCTGATCGCTGATCACCAAACGCAATGGTAACCTTGTCAAATGTTACAAACTTATTGCGGGAACATGTCGTACTCCTAAATTAGGCTCATGGTTGTCTTTGTATACTCATTTCAAACCAAATTTGTTAATATTGCGGCTGCACGGTTGAGTCTGATGAAAATCTCATTTATCTGAAAATGCATTAATGCCAATTGAACATAGATTGTTTTTAATTGATAGAACTGAACTGCGTTTAGCACGCTTTAAGAATGCCATCCCAAAGCCATAAGCCTCGGTTTAACTAAAGAGCATTCACATGCTCTAAACTATTTTGTTCTGCTGTTCGCAAAAATTCTGCCGTTCACCGGGACTTGCTGCTTTTTTTTGTATCTTGCCTCAACTTCTGAACAAAAATTCGCGCGTACGATTGGCCATAGATGACTTCGTGGCTGCGATGAGCACAAGAAGATATCAGATCATCGCCAAATATCATAGCTGTCAACTTGCGTTTGTGGGAGGGCATTTTGAGTACTTCTATTGTTCGCTTGCAACTTTCGCCTCATGCTTTTTTGGTATATTCGTGGCATCAACTGTAGGAGCGCGACGATTGTGTTGTCATAATCATCGAGAAGTTTTCTTCTTTTGAATAATAAAATAGATATATTGAAACAATTTTAGCATTCATCTTAGTCTAAATTTATGAAAATTGCTACTCAAACTCAGATAATTGTGATAATCTACAATCTGCAGGTAAAATGCTAACAAGCGTCCTACTTGCATTTAGCTTGAAATTGCGTCTCGATTCAACCCTCATTTCTGGTTTTAAGTAAATTAACATAAGCAGGTTAAAAAATTTGGAACACAGGTTTAAAGGCTATAGGGCAATTTGGTAGAAGAAATGATGGAATAGGGTAATATGCCCTGATACCAAATTATAAACAAGCAACTAAGGTCATAGCAACAGTACGATAATCACAATTTGATAGGAGACGTTTTTTTAAATCAAAATTTTTTACAAGTTTATAGAAATCCTTTTTTCATACTCAATTCGGTATACATTTTTTTTATCTGCGCAAAAAAAGAGAATTTCCGCGCCGATACTGGTACATTGTAGTAATTTGTTCGACGGGTGACCTGTCTAATATAAATGTACCCGCAAATGAATTTGAGTCTCCTAAAAAAAATTCAGCCTTTTTTCCGCAATGGCAACATCAAAATTTGTACCAATTTCGAATGAGGAACTTTTTTACATGAGGTGTCAGAACGAAGCATTTGTGTATCATTTGTATCTATAGAATCAGGGAAAGATCTAGAATTTTCTGTGACGGATTCTCAAAAATGTGGCGGATTCTCAAAAATTTTGTTGACCATTTTTCTTAGGTTGTACAAATATGTTTTCCGAGCTTTTCCAATGCACTAAAAAAGATTCTGTTTTGGGCCAAATTTTCTGCGCCGCCGTCAAAATTTTGAAAAACAGGCGTTTTTAGGCATTTTTTGTAAAGTTTTGACCAAAAATTTTTTTTAGGCATTTTTTGGAAAGTTTTGACCAAAAAATTGCGTTTTTCAGCGCGCGCTCGCCCCTAAAAATTAGCTTAAATTGGCTCCAAAGGCGCCTTTAGACAATTTTAGGCTCCTCCAGCCAAAATTGATATCTCAAAATAGTACAAAGGTGGAATTCAGATAAGTAGAAGCAGTTTTATAATTAGTCGCAAACCTGAGCTTGGCATACAATTATAACGGACGGACAATGAGTATAGATGACAAGAATTAAAAACTTAAAATCGAGGAGAAATCAATTTTTAAAGTCAAATTT